AGACAGAAGTCCAGTGGAAGTAACAGTGAAAAAGTGGGCCACAGAACCTGGTGATACCCTGACTACAGGTGATTGAATGTTTTTCGTGGAACTACATTACAATATGGAAGTATACATGGAAAGGATAAAAGAAGCAGGACAATAGGGAGCAATGTGTGTTGTGTCTAGGTCAAATCAAGAATTATAATAAGGGGAAGGTGACTTTTGTGATCTCAATAAGAGAAGAATCTGCAGGGGAGTAGGTGGGAGGGATGAAGATTGAAAAGATGTGGAAAGGAAGAAGGTCTTGCTTCGGTGATGGGAGGACATTCTAGTGATGAATGCTCCTATTGCATGAAGAGAGATGGTCTGTGAAAGGATATAGGGACCTTGCACTGGTTATGATCTGTGGAATTTGGTGCTTGAAAATTCTACTCATCCTACCATGGAAGGGGGAGAGTTGGAACTCCTGGGAGTAACTGGAACCTAAGAAAATGGGAAGGCATGGATCTAGGGGAGAGATTTTGAGGCAAATGGGTAATAAAAGTAACCAGAGAAAGGTATAGATCCATTGTGGGCTACATAACTAGGAACATGATAGAGGAAGGGGCCCTTCCATGGTCTTCTCTTGCACCTGTGATACTCAGCATTATTCTGAGGGTGAAGCACCATAAAGAAGAGGAATATGGGGGCAAGCTCTAAAAGGCAATGACAGAAACGACCCAGAAGGAAAAGACTAGGATAAATACCTTGGAAATTGAGACGCATTAGAAAATTATAGAGGTCATAAATCAAAGAATAAGGGCTAGAAGATAGAGAAAGGATAACGAAGAGTGAGAGAAATCCTTCTTGGGAAAGGGTGCAAAAATAAATTTTAAAAAGTAATGAACAAGACTAGGTGTAGGAGAGGTTAGGAAGAGAGGAAAATCTACTTGACTACTGAGAGGGAAAATAGGGGGGAAGAATTACATAATCAGATAAAAGCAGTAGTTAAAAGGAACTAATAAGCAAAACTCCAAAGGGAAAGGGATAAGAAATGAGATGATCAGGGGTGAGAGGAAGAGAGTTAGTAGAAACACAGCCATTTTTTTAAAAGATTCAGGTAAAATTACCGAAGGAACATTGTGTGTGGGACAGTGACCACTGAAATCAAGAGTTTGGAGTCTGAATCAGAGATCAGAAAAGGCCTTTATTCTTTTTCATGAGAAAGGGCACAGCCCTTGTGGCTGCCAGCGGCAGCCAGCGAGTGCGTGAGAAGCAAAGTTTTGTACCCCTAACGCATGCCCCCTTCCACTCTCTTACCTCTTTCCCCTCTTGGCTGGGTACTCAAGACTACAATCTAAACGCGGCAACTCATACCCAGTAGAAGCAAACACCCATATTTGGGAACTAGCCGTATGCTTGCGCCAGGAGGCGGGGGTGACCAGGTACTGCCTGTGCTGATGTGGAATTTTGAGAAAGGCAAAAGTCAACTCAGGGCTTAGGCCTGAGGGAACTGCACTTTAGCCCATCTCTTACAATTGTATCATGTAGGAGGGGGAGGTGGGAATCATAACTTAAACCAAAAAAAAGTATTATAAACAAATGGAGGAAAAGATAAACCTGTGTCTGTTGAGATGATCCTAACTTTAAATATGAATAGTTAATAATCCAATAAAACGAAAAGGTAACATACTGGATAAGAACATAAAACCCTATAATCCACTGTTGTTTACAAGAAACACATTCAAAAAACAAAAACATACACGATACAAAATATTGCATGGGGGGAAAATGCAACAAGTGAATCCAAAAAAGCAGGAGTTATAATCAAGCTCTCTAACAAAGCAAAAACAAACATTTAAAAATAAATAGGTATAAATGCATTCTGCATTATGCAGAAAGGAATCAAAGGTAACAAACCAATACCAATAATGAATCTATATGCTCCAAAAGTTTTAGCATCCAAATTCATAAAGGAAACATTTGAGCTTCAAGAAGACATAGATAGTAACACAATAGTGACAGAACACTTCAATATCCCACTATCAGTTTTGGATAAATCTAACAGAAAGATAAACAAAAGGAAAATATGGAACTGAACAAATATCTGGAGAAATGAGTTAAAAGACTTATGTCATCATCTAAATGGGATTGAAAAAGAATTTCTTGATATTTCTCATACTTTTCAATAGAGCTTCAACCTTTTACAAAAATTGACCACATACCAGGACGCTGAGGTATAGCAAACAAATATAATAAGGCAGAAATAGATAATACATTGTTTATAGATAAACAAAAAATAATATGCAATAAAATAGTCATTTGTTCAGGGACCACAAAAAAACCAAACCCAAATGGAGAGTTAAGAATTAAATTCTAAATGATGAGTGGGTCAAAGAACAAATCATAAAAAATAGAGGCTATGTAAAAGAAAATGATAATGATGAAGAAACATGCCAAAATTTCAGAGGTATACCTAAAGCAGTCCTTGGGGAAAAAATTAATGAACTGAATAAACATTTTAAAAAATTAGAAAGTCAATGAATAAGCAAACTGAAAAAAGGCACAAAAGAGGAGATATTAAAAAGTAGAAGAGTAATAAATTGGAAACAAAAAAACATAGAAATGATTAATAGAACTAAAACCTAGTTCTTTGAAAAAACTAATAAAATTGATAAACTCTTACCTAATCTAATTAAAAAAGAAGATAGCATAAAATCAAATCAATAAAATATCAAATAAGCAAGGTGAAATCACAACAAAAACAGAAGAAAAAATAATAATTATAACATGTCATGCACAGTTATACTCTAACAAAACTGAGAATACAAAAGACAAAGAGGAATACCTTAAAAAAATACAAAATACCCAAACTGTCAGAAAGCCAGATAGAAATCTTAAATAATCCAATCTCAGAAAAGGAAATAGATCTAGTTAGAAAGGAACTACCAAAGGAAAAAAACTCTTGGTCCTAAAGGATTCACAGGAAAATTCTATCAAACTTAAAAAAAAACAATTAGCACCCATATTTCACAAATTATTCTCAAAAATTGAGAAAGAAAACACTCTGCCAGACTTCTTTTATGGGACAAATATCATCCTAATACCTAAACCAGGTAAAGATAAAACATCGGGAAAAAACCATATCATTAACATATCATATTACCGTCAATATACCATATTACCACAATACCAATATCATTAATAATGAATACTAACTCAAAAAATTTAAACAAAATCCTGTCAAACAGACTACAATGATTTATCCAAGAAATCATTCACTATGACCAAGTGGGATTTATACCAGGGATGGAAAGAATGGTTCAACCACTCAACCAAAAACCCATGATCATCTCTATAGATGCAAAAAACACTTCTGACCAAGTACAACACTCTTTTATGCTTAAAAAAAAGCACCTCATAGGGACTATAGGCATAGAGGGACTTTTTTTTAATATCAAATAAAGCATCTTAAAAACACTTAATGTTATTTATTAGACTTTTTCACAATTTAACTGAAAATATTTTTTACTCTGTTATTTTTATATTTGTCAAGTCCTTTCATGGTCTTTTGGAGGTTAAAAATTTCCCAATGAAAGCACGCACTCCAGAAGAGCTGGAAGAATTGGAGACAGTTTTACGGCTAAGGAAGACTGAAGAAACTGATATAAAGTATGGTTTTGAATATTACTGTGATACATGATAATTCAAGTCTTAATATAGATTTTAATTGAAATGCAATGGAAGAGATGTATAGTGGAGAGCTAGCCTCAAAGTCAGGAAGACTTGAGGTTCAAGTACTGCCTCTCATATAGACTGACTATGTGATCTGGGGCAAGTCACCTAACTTCTCAGTGATCTAAGCAGCTCTAAGACTCTTAAGTTGCAGAGGTGATACCTTGTACTAGTAGAAAGTTTCCTTACTTGGGAGGTTTCTATGTCAATAAAAATCACAAGTTCAGTCCGTATAATAATAATAACAGCTAACATTTATATAGAGCTTTAAGGTCTGCAAAGTGCTTTATATATGTTATTTCATTTGATCTTCACAATAACCTTGTGAAGCAGGCACTGTTATTAGCCCTATTTTACAGTTGAATGCACTGAAGCACCCAAAGCTTAAATGACTATCCAGGTGTTACACAGCTAGTAAGCATCTAAGGCTGAATTTGAATTAAGATCTTCTTGACTCCAGATCCAATGTTTTATCTACTGTTCCACCTAGCTACAATATCCCTTCTAGTGAATAATACATACTTGTAAAATATTCATGGCTGTCCTTCACATAAGAAGATAAATGAATGTAGCACATGAGTCTTTAATTATTTCCATAGTAACGGTGAGGTATTACCTTTAGCCATACATGCTCTTCTTATAATCAGACCAGTGGTTATACATTTCCAAGACAATTGGTCAACATGGAATACATTTTGTTACTATGAAACAGTGCGTTTCTCTGGGCAAGACCCATTGGCCTATACAAGTCAGAATACATAGCCATGGTCTCAATAAAACTATTCTCTACTAGTTATTACAAAAGAATAAAGTCAGACCTGGAAAAGTACCACACTTTTTGATATAATGTAAGCTACTGGGAGGATGTCAAGCACATTCCATGTATAGTTTTCTAAAATATAAAATGAGATTAATATTTAATACCTACTGCTTGACTTATATCAGTCACCATGTAAATTCCTATGTAAAATACAAACTAACAGGATATATTTTTTCATGTTTAAGTAACAAGACCCACCTTAAAATATTTACATGGACAAGTTATTCTGCCAACCTAGTTCAAAGATAATATGTTACTAAATACAATTTTTACTGTTATCATTCACCTACAGTATACAGGTTTAATCTCTTTTGTAAGACTTTCCAGGTCTACCTGCCATTCTGAATACAAATATAGACAGCAGAATTTAAAGCTTTAAATTTATTTTTGAAATAATTATGTTGTTGCCAGGTTGCCCTTTAGAAACATAATTAAGACTTAATAATTATATAATAATGAATGTATTATGTTTTTCCATATAAAGCTACGGAAGGAAATTGTAGAAGTTCAATCCACAGCTTTAAGTAAAAAGGAACCTGAAGAGGAAGAGGAGGAGGAAGAGGAAGAAGAGAGAAAAAAAAAGAGAGAGAGCAACTTAATCAATTACTTTCTTGGCAGCTTAAGTTCTGAGCTTGGTGCAGACACAAGTATGTTATATAACCAATTAGAACTTCATACCAGAGAAGAGAAAATCAACCAGATTGTATTACTAAAGGTGAACTATTTTTATCTTCCAAACCAGTAAAGCTCTCTTGTAAAGTGCTTTCTTGAGCCCCTGACTAAATTATGATACAAATCAAATTATATCCTTTTATGTGTTCATAAATGTTGACATACTGTAACTTAACTTATAGCTCCCTTTGCACTCCCCAACCATCTTTCCCCTAAGATTATCTCTACTGAGGGTACCTCCCTCCCCTATGGTACTCTACCGAGATACATAAGATCATATTATAGTAGAGAGGAAAGGAATGAGCATTTATATAGTGCTGGGTACTGTGCTAAACACTTTACAAATATTCTTTGATCTTCATAACAACTCTGTGAGGTAGTGCTGTTATTACCTCCATTATTACAGTTGAGGGAACTGAGGTAAACAAAAGTTAAGTGAATTGCCCAGGGTCACATATCTAGTTAAGTGTCTGAGGCTGGATTTGTACTCTGGTCTTCCAAACCCAGGCTCAGTGCTTTATCCACTGTACCACCTAGCTGCCTCATATTAGTATGATAAATAATGTTAAACTGTTCTGGGATGCCATTATCACATCTTTGTCCTAAATTCCCTTCTCCCAAAAGAACTATTTCAATCTTAACATTAGACAGAAAAACAAACAAGTTTCCACTGGTAAAAGAAAAAATTCCTTTTCTATGCCAATATAAAGTATTTTTGTCCTTTTCCCCCCAAACTACAAAATCTCACATGACAGATAATAGACTATAGCTAATTCAAATTCAGCATTCTGCTTTTTGATTGAAGGAAACTTTCAATTAAAAGCCAATCCAAGAGAGAAAAGTTTAGTATGACAGCTATTAATCTTAGAGGAATGGGGAACCATTGAAAGATCTTGAGCAGGAGAGCATATTTGACTCTGGATTTCAGAACTGGAAATTACTCTGGAGATCATGTAGTCCAAATTTCTAATTTTATAGAGGAGGAAACTGAAGTCCAGAGAATGAAGTGGCCTACTTAAGGTCCTGGTTAATAATAGAATAGAATCTCAAAACAGTGCCTTTTCTATAATGTTAGACTTAAAGCATTATTTTAGGAAGACAAGTTGGTGGTGATTTGAGGATGGATTTAGAGTAGGAATAGAGTTAAAAATTGTTAAGACTATGGCATGATACTGCCAGTAAAGAAGTAATCTATCACGTTTATGATATTTCAGGACATTATTTACAACATCAAAACTGAATTTAATAAAGACTTTGATATTGTATATCAACAAAAAGAGTTGGAAATAACACGTGTGAATGAAAGAAATACACATATTCAAGAAATTATTACAGAATTAGATCTTGGGGAACAGATATGGCAACCAGTATTTGAAGACTGTGAGAAGCCAGAGAGGATTCTAGTTGTAGAAGATCATGAGGTATGTCCTTTCCTTACTTTCTAAGGCTGCTTTCCTGTTTCCTTTTTGCACTTGTTTCCTTGGATTGATTGCTGACAGAGTTGAGAGAGAGAGAGAGAAAGAGAGAGTTTCACCTTTGGATATTGCCTTACAGTTTACAAATGTTCCTCACAATAATTTTATGTAGCAGTTTCAAGTATTCTACTCATTTTAAATAGAAAAATGAGACCCAGGGAAGGTAAGTGTCTTGCTCATATCCATTTCAATAATCTAGGGGCTTAGGGATCAATGGCTCTTGTGTTTCCTTCTCAAAGAGGACCAAAATGACTTCATTATGTTAGAGCTGAGTTACAGTGTGTCTGACTGTGACTGATCAGACCAATATGAGCTCAGAATGCTCTACCACAGGTAAGGCACAAATAGTCCATGTGAACATTTGGGGAAGGTGGCGGACTAAAAAGGTAGTCGCTCTCACCCTCCCCTATCAACCTCTGAAAACCCAGAAAATATCACCCCAGGAAAAAACCCTGGAACAGTTGAAGTAGAAGAAAGACAGGGAGAAGCAGTTCAGCAGCCCAGCAAATGGGTCTCCCAGTGCCTCAGCAAAAATAAGGGAAGGAGACCTACAAAGGGCCCCAGGTGGATAAGTACCCTGCAGCATTCATCTGAAAGGAGTGAAGAAAGCAACCTAAAGGTCTTCCTAAAGCCCAGCCTTGCTGATTCCACCCAACACCAGGTGAGCTGTGACCCTCAGCCTCCAATTGTAAGAAATCCTGAAGCCCAGGTGGTAGAGTAGGCAAACAGCAACACCTGGACCTCCGAGTACCTCAGTGAGGGCAGGGGAACCAGTGGAAACCAGCTCAGAAAACCACCAGATGCCTCGGCATCTACTGCAAAGGAATCTCCCAGTGCATTAGCAGAAAGAGGGAGCAGCACTGCAGCCCCAGGCAGATAAACACCCTGCAGCACCCATCTAAAAGGAGCTGAAGAAAGCTAAAGGAAAGGAAAAGCAGGCAACCTAGAATTGCCTGAAAGTTCCAGCCTTGCTGATTCCAGCCCAAACAGAGGTAAGCTGCCAGAAACCTACAGCCTCCAATTGCCAACATAAGAGGCCCCAGCACACAAAGCCAGTGACCAAGACCTAGGCTCCCAACACAAGAAGCTTGGGTCAGTGCCCTCTGTTCCCCAGCAGGAGAGCTCAATCTCTTTAAAGGCCAGGGAATAAAGAAACACCATGAGTAAAAACAAAACAAAACAAAACAAAAAACATACCATAGATTCATATTATGAGAAGAGTGAAGATCAAGACAGAAATTCTGAAGAGGACAACATTGTCAACAAACCCACATCTGCAACATCAAAAGGAATATGATCTGAAGCCCAAAAACCTTCTTAGAAGAGCTCAAGAAGGATTTTAAAGTCAAATGAGAGAGGTAGAAGAGTCCTTCAAAAATACAATTGGCCAATTGGAAAAAAAATACACTGAAGAAAACAAGTCCCTAAAAAACACAATTGGCCAATTGAAGAAGGAAGTACAAAAACTAACAGAAGAAAACAATCTGTTAAAAACTAGAATTGGACAAATGGAAACTAATGTCTCTATGAGAGAGCAAGAATCAGTCAAACAGAAACAAAAAAATGAAAAAATAGATGAAAATGTAAAATACCTCATCAGTAAAACAACCGACCTGGAAAATCGATTCAGGAGAGACAATTTAAAAATTATTGGACTACCTGAAAATCATGATAAAAAAAGAGCCTGGACAGTATCTTTCAGGAAATCATAAAGGAAAACTGCCCTGAAGTCCTAGAACCACAAGGAAAATAACCATAGAAAGAATCCACCGATCACCACCTGAAAGAGATCCCAAATTGACAATGCCAAGGAATATAATAGCAAAATTCCAAAATTACCAGATGAAAGAGAAGGTGCTGCAAGCAGCCAGAAAGAAACAATTTAAATATCATGGAACCACAGTCAGGATTACACAGGACCTTGCAGCTTCTACATTAAAAGACCGCAGGGCTTGGAACATGATATTCCATAAGGCAAAGGAGCTTGGAATGCAGCCAAGGATCAACTACCCAAAAAATGAGCATTTTCAAGGGAGGAATGGATATTCAATGAAATAGGAGACTTCCAAACTTTCCTGATAAAAAGACCAGAGCTCAACAAAAAATTTGATCTTCAAGTACAGACTCAAGAAGACTTAAAAAGGTAAATGGGACAGAAAGATACAATATGTTGTTAATAAGGGGGCTGTTTAAACCCTACAAGGGAATATGACACTTGCAACTGAGAACTGTATTGTTATTACACCATGTTAAAGGAGTATACATAAAGAGGGTGGATATTAGTTGACTTTGATGTAATGAAAAAAAAATCTAATCAAGTGGGTTAAATGGATCCAAATAAGTGGATATCTGATCTTAGAAAATGTACTGAGAAAGGAGGAGGCAGACAAGGGTAAATTACATTACAGGAAAAGACACAAAATCCTATTACAGCAGAGGGAAAGAAGGAGGGGGGAGCATTGTTTGAACCTTACTCTCATCAGATTTGGCTCAAGAAGGGCATAACATAATCAGTTAGGTATAGAAATCTAACTTGCCCTATAGGCAGTAGGAGGGAAAAGGGGAAAGAAAAGGGAGGGGGAAGAAGGGAGGAAGCAAAGTGAAGAAAAGGGAAAGGGATAATAAAGGGAGGAGGGACTGAAGGAGGCTGGTCAAAAGCAAAACACTAGTGAAGGGGGAAAGGAAAAGAGAGAAAAAAAGCATAAATGGGGGAAAGGATGGAGAAAAAGACACAGATAGTAATCATAACTGTGAATGTGAATGGGATGAACTCTCCCATAAAAGAAACAGATTGCAGAATGGATTAAAAACCATAATCCTACAATATGTTGTTTACAGGAAACACATTTGAAAAAGAGTGACACATACAGGGTAAAGGTAAAAGGCTGGAGCAGAATATATTATGCTTCAGCTGAAGTAAAAAAAGCAGGGGTAGCAATCCTGATCTCAGACAAAGCAAAAGCAAAAATAGATCTAATCAAAAGAGATAAGGAAGGAAACTACATCCTGCTAAAAGGCACCATAGACAATGAAGTAATATCATTACTAAACATATATGCACCAAATGGTATAGCATCCAAATTCTTACAGGAGAAGTTCAGGGAGTTACAGGAAGAAATAGACAGCAAAACTATACTAGTGGGGACCTGAACTCCCCCTCTCACTAGGTAAATCTAACCACAAAATAAACAAGAAAGAAGTTAAGGAGGTGAATAGAACATTAGAAAAGTTAGGTATGATAGACCTCTGGAGAAAACTGAATGGGGATAGAAAGGAATATACTTTTTTCTCAGCAGTACATGGCACATACACAAAAATTGACCATGTACTAGGGCATAAAAACCTCACAATCCAATGCAGAAAGGCAGAAATATTAAATGCATCCTTTTCAGATCATGATGCAATAAAAATTATATGTAATAAAGGGCCATGGAAAGATAGACTAAAAAATAATTGGAAACTAAATAATCTAATCCTAAAAAATGATTGGGTCAAACAACAAATCATAGAAACAATCAATAATTTCATTCAAGAGAATGACAATAATGAGACAACATACCAAAACTTATGGGATGCAGCAAAAGCAGTTCTTAGGGGAAGTTTTATATCTCTAAATGCTTACATAAATAAAATAGAAAAAGAGATTAATGAATTGGGCATACAACTAAAAAAACTAGAAAAAGAACAAATTAAAAATCCTCAACTAAACACCAAATTAGAAATATTGAAAACCAAAGGAAAAATTAAAAAATTGAAATTAAGAAAACTATTGAACTAATAAATAAAACTAAGAGCTGGTTTTATGAAAAAACCAATAAAATAGATAAACCTTTGGTTAATTTAATTAAAAAAAGAAAGAAGAAAACCAAATTACTAGTATCAAGAATGAAAAGGGTGAAGCTACCACCAAGGAAGAGGAAATTAAAACAATAATTAGGAATTATTTTGCCCAACTATATGCCAACAAATTTGACAATCTTAGTGAAATGGATACATATTTACAAAAATATAAATTGCCCAGATTAACAGAAGAGGAAGTAAAATACTTAAATAACCCCATCTCAGAAAAAGAAATTGAACAAGCCATTGATGAACTCCCTAGGAAAAAATCTCCAGGGCCAGATGGATTTACATGTGAATTCTATCAAACATTTAAAGAACAATTAATTCCAATACTATATAGACTATTTGGGAAAATAGGTGAAGAAGGAGTCTTACCAAATTCTTTTTATGATACAAATATGGTGTTGATACCTAAACCAGGAAGAGTCAAAATAGAGAAAGAAAATTATAGACCAATTTCTCTAATGAATATAGATGCAAAAATTTTAAACAAAATACTAGCAAATAGATTGCCGCAACTTATCACAAGAATAATACACTATGACCAGGTAGGATTTATACCAGGAATGCAGGGTTGGTTCAATATTAGGAAAACTATCAGCATCATTGAGCATATCAACACCAAAACCAACAGAAACCACATGATCATCTCAATAGATGCAGAAAAAGCTTTTGAAAATTCAACACCCATTCCTATTAAAAACACTAGAAAGCATAGGTATAAATGGAGTCTTCCTTAAAATAATAAATAGCATCTATCTAAAACCTTCAGCAAGCATTATATGTAATGGGGACAGGCTAGAAGCATTTCCAGTAAGATCGGGGGTGAAACAAGGATGTCCATTATCACCACTGTTGTACTGGAAACATTAGCTTAAGCAATAAGAGAAGAAAAAGAAATTGAAGGTATTAGAATATGCAAAAAAGAAACAAAACTATCACTCTTTGCAGATGACATGATGATATACTTAGAGAATCCTAGAGAATCAAGTAAAAAACTACTTGAAATAATAAACAACTTTAGCAAAGTTGCAGGCTATAAAATAAACCCACATAAATCATCAGCATTTCTATATATTACCAACAAAGCCCAACAGCAAGAGACAGAAAGAGAAATCCCATTTAAACTTACTGTAGACATTATAAAATATTTAGGAGTCTACCTCCCAAAACAAACCCAGGAACTCTATGAACACAATTACAAAACACTTTTCACACAAATAAAATCAGATCTAAATAATTGGAAAAACATCAGTTGCTCATGGGTATGCCAAGCTAATATAATAAAAATGACAATCCTACCTAAGCTAATTTACTTATTCAGTGCCATACCAATCAAACTACCAAGAAATTATTTTATAGAGTTAGAAAAAATAATAACAAGATTCATTTGGAAGAACAAAAGGTCCAGAATATCAAAGGAACTAATGAAAAGAAATGCAGGGGAAGGTGGCCTAGCAATTCCAGATCTTAAATTGTATTATAAAGCAGCAATCATCAAAACTGCTTGGTACTGGCTAAGAAATAGAGTGGTGGATCAGTGAAATAGGTTAAATATGCAAGACACAGTAGTCAATGACTATAGTAATCTATTATTTGATAAACCCAAAGACCCCAGCTTCTGGGATAAGAACCCACTCTTTGAAAAAAACTGCTGGGAAAACTGGAAAAGAGTATGGCAGAAACTAGGCATAGACCCAAATCTCACACCATATACCAAAATAAAGTCAAAATGGGTTCATGACTTAGATATAAAGGCTGATACCATAAGTAAATTGGAATAGTTTACCTATCAGATCTATGGAGAACAGAAGAATTCATGACCAAACAGGAGATAGAGAACATTATGAAAAGCAAAATGGATAATTTTGATTACATTAAATTGAAAAGTTTTTGCACAAACAAAGCCAATGCAACTAAGATTAGAAGGAAGGTAGAAAATTGGGAAAGAATTTTTACAACCAGTCTCTCTGATAAAGGCCTCATTTCTAAAATATATAGAGAATTAAGACAAATTTATAAGAACACAAGCCATTCCCCAATTGATAAATGGTCAAAGGATATGAACAGACAGTTCTCAGATGAAGAAATTAAAGCCATCTATAGTCATATGAAAAAATGCTCTAAATCATTATTGTTATAGATGAAAATGCAAATCAAAACAACTCTGAGGTACCACATCACACCTATCAGATTGGCCAACATGACAAAACAGGAAAATGATAAATGTTGGAGAAGATGTGGGAAAATTGGAACACTAATGCATTGTTGGTGGAGTTGTGAAATGATCCAACCATTTTGGAGAACAATTTGGAACTATGCCCAAAGGGCTATAAAAATGTGCATACCCTTTGACCCAGCAATAGCACTTCTAGGGCTATATCCCAAAGAGATCATACAAATGGGAAAAGGACCCATATGTACAAAAATATTCATAGCAGCTCTTTTTGTGGTGGCAAAGAATTGGAAATTGAGAGGATGCCCATCAATTGGGGAATGGCTGAGCAAGTTGTGGTATATGAATGTAATGGAATACTATTGTGCTATAAGAAATGATGAACAGGCTGACTTCAGAAAAACCTGGAAAGACTTGTATGGTCTGATGCTGAGTGAAGTGAGCAGAACCAAGAGAACTTTGTACACAATAACAGCCATGTTGTGTGATGACTAATATTGATTAACTTAACCCTTCTCAGCATTACAAGGATCTAAGACATCTCCAGAGGCCTCGTGATGGAAAATGCTGTCCATATCCAAAGAAAGAACTATGGAAGTTGAATCGCTATCTTTTTTTTTCTCTTCTGTTGAGTTTTGTTTCCTCTTTCTAATGGTTCCTCCTATTGGTTTTAATTTTTACTTACAACTTCACTAATGTGAAAATACATGTAATAGGAATGTGAATGTATAGCCTATATGAGATTGTGCACTGTCTTGGGAAGGGTGGTGGGGAGGAAGGGGGAGAAAAATTTTAAACTTTTTTTTTAAATTTAAAGCATATGGAAGTGACTGTTGATGAATCAAAATAAATTAATAAAATTCAAAAAAAAAGAAAAAACATTTGGGGGAGATTCTCTAAATTTGTGCATCTCATGGTTCTTTTGAGCTACTTCAATTCTGCTTTGTTCATAGAGCACAGCACCTTCTTTGAAGCAGGTATGCCATGCTGAGCAGTCCTTTGCCAGTGTCTCCCATGTCACATAATCAATTCCAAAGTTCTTGAGAACGTTCTTGTATCGCTTTATCATGTGAGTGCTTGCCTTGTGTGAGTTCTCTGTAAAATAATCTTTTATGCAAGCATATGTTTGGCATTTGAGCAACATGACCAGCCCATCAGAAATAATGCATTAAACAAGTAGCTCTGTTACCGTAGCAAGTGTTACCTCACAGAAACAGGCCATTATAACTAGGTGATGGGGTAGTTAAATGAGAATGAGCCCTACAGGATATTTATACAGGGATCCAGGAAATAGGTAGAAGGTTTATGACCTTAAGCTTTCTGTCACCAGATAATTTATAATTGCTTCAGTTCAAGATTTTTACCAAGATTACATAAAGGTACTGAAATGAATGAAATTAATAGGGAGATTCCTTGTGACATTCTATCACCAGATAATCGAGGCCTACTTCAGTAGTGGAGTTGGGTCTTGAACCTAGCTTCTGACTGGGTTCAGTGTTCATTTCATTATACCATGCTGATTTTCATTAAATGAAATTAAAATACTACGACCATATTTCTTTAGAAAATGCAAAGTGTTATAGCATGCCCAGAAAAATCTATTTGCTCATAGGAATAGGGACTACACCTTTGATTTCATTTGTATAAGGAACCCTATATCAATCTGAGTTTTTTATTCCATTTGGGAATTTCCCAGATAAGGAAACTTCTTTTGCCAATGCAAGTGCAGCATCTTCTCTGATAATTATAGTCACAAGAGCTGCCTCCTAGTATACTGAGAAATGATGCAGCTCACCTGGGCCTGGGGTCAATATTAGTCAGCAGCAGGTATTGAACCCAGCTCTCACAGGCTACAAGATTGGATCTACCCACTACACCATGCTGCCTCCTACTTGCTGCTATTAAATTAAATTACTTAATTCTAGCACCAAAACATATATTTAGTAGGAGTATTGAAGTGAATTCATTTTTGAGCTCAACTCTTCCCTGTGAGTTCAGAAAGATGCCTGAAACATAGCTTCTGAAGGGTGGAGAGGAGAAAATTTTTCTTACAGTCTCACTTCCATTTACTCACCTTTGCAGGTGCCCAGAAGGATATGGAGTAACCAAAGTAACATTTATTTGAAATCAGAAGGCCTCAGTTCTAATCCTGCCATTCTATTGGGCAATTCATCCAACTTTTCTGAGCCTCATTTTCCTCATCTACAAAATGGGGATAATACACAGGGTTTTTGTGAGGCTCAAGTGAGATAATATAGGTGAAAGTACTTTAGAAGCTATAAAGTACTATATTAATGTAAGATATGATCATTAAATGTACGGTGAATATAAGAACTTATACCCTACATAGACCAATATCTCATTCGACATGGGTACATGATTTAGACATAAAGGGCAATACAATAAGCAAATTAGGGGATCATAGAATATTTTATCTGTCAGATCTATGGATAAGGGAAGAATTTATGACCAAATGAGAGATAGAGAGCATTACAGGATGTAAAATGTATAGTTTCATTACATTAAATTAAAATTTTCATTTGCACAAATGAAACCAATGAAACCAAGATTAGAAGGAAAGCAGAAAAGGCGGGGGGGGGGGGGGGGGATTTTATAGCAGGTTTCCCTGATAAAGGCCTCATTTCAACTATATAGAGAACTGAGTCAAATGGTCAAAGGATATGAACTGGCAATTTTCAGATGAAAAAATCAAAGTTATCTATAGTCATTTGAAAAAATGCTCTCAATCACTATAGATTAGAGAAATGAAAATTAAAACAACAAAACCACCCGACACTTATAAGATTGGGTAATATTACAGAAAAGGAAAATGACAAATGTTGGAGGGGATGTGGGAAATTTGGGACACTAATGAACTGTTGGTGGAGTTGGGAATTGGCCCAACCATTCTGGAGAGCAATTTAGAACTATCCAGAAAGGGCTATAAATGGTGCATACCCTTTTACCCAACAATACCACTACTAGGTCTGTGACCTTTCTGAAAAGGCTGGTTTCACATTAGGCCATGCTTTCATGACAAAGTGTTAAGATCTATATGGCCTGGAGTGATGCTGCCTTGTGTCATAGATAAGGACATAGATACATAGATAGATATATAGATACGGTATTGAATCAAGAAAGGGTAATTATCCTCCCTTTAGTAGTTATTCTAGAAAAATCACTAAATATGGTCATGTATAAGTTTCTACAGATACATATAACATGGTCTATAGCTCCTATACAAGAATTCAAGGTAGCAAATGCAAATCAGGTATGTTACAGCCTTTATTTCTCCCGCACAGAAAACAAGAAAGATGACAAGGATTTATAGAAGCCCATAAACAGATGCAGAAACATATAAAGCACTCACGTCACTAATTGACTCCCCCTAGAAGGGATCTGAGCTTGGTGTTGCTATTCAGATAACCCTTTGACATTATGGTGGATCTTTAGCCTTTCCACAAGTTAAATAAGCTTTCTTTGAATCTTTTGAGAAATACAGACAAAAATGAAGTTGAAGTTTTTGCTTTTCAGATTAAAGTTGAAAGAATCCTTACCCCATGGGAGAAAGAACAAGCAGCATTAGCTGAAGCCCTTGAACGGGAAAGACGTCGTTTAAGTCAGGTATTATGTTAAAAACTAAATATATATGTATATGTGTGTATATATATATATATATATATATATATATATATATATATATATATAAATACATTTGTTTTTACTTAGTAGTTGTATTTTTACATTATATTACAGAAACATGTTCCTTTGCAATCAATCAGAAACATTTAGGGAAGAGTCTAATTACAAACACACACACATATACACATACGTGCCCTCTGCCATCACCATCATTACCATTATAGATTCATTTTCCTGCTTGTTCCTGACATCTTCCCAACAACATTTTAGATCTGTGGTCTTGGGTGATGCTGATAGAGCTTGAACACTTCAACCTCCAGCTACCATTTCCTCTAACTTTGGGTTATTTTTCCAGAGGGATGATGAAAGACGTCGAGCTTTGATGGACATGATGGGTGGAGTTCTAGAAGTCAAGAAAGAAGATATTTTGAGGATGGTAATAGTTTTATCTAACATTGGAAAGTAGAATAGGAAGGATGAAAGTGAGAAAAATATGTAATTTACCATTTTCTTAAATGAGCCAGAGTTTTAGGAAATTCTTCAAAAGCAAAATTCCTTGGTAGAGATTTCATTTCTCAAATATACAGGGAACTGAGCCAAATTTATAAGAATATGAGTCATTCCTCAATTGATAAATGGTCAAAGAATATGAACAAGCAGTTTTCAGAAGACATCAAAGCTATCAATAGCTATATGAAAAAAATTATCTAAATCACTATTAGTTAGAGATACATAAAAATTAAAACAACTATGAGATACCACCTCACACTTATCAAATTGGCTAACATGACAGAAAAAGAAAATTACAAATGTTGGAGAGGTTGTTAAAAAATAGGAATATATTCACTATTGAACTTTTGAACTTATGTGACCATTCTAGAGAACAATTTACAACTATGCCCAAAGGGCTATTAAACTGTCTTTACCATTTGACTCAGCAATATTACTATTAGGTCTGTATCACAAGGAGATCAAAGAAAAGGGAAAAGGATCCATACGTACAAAATATTTCTAGCATATCTTTTTATGGTGGCAAAAAAATGGAAACTGAAGGGATACCCATCATTTGGGGAACGGTTGAGCAAGTTGTGTTATATGATTGTGATGGAATACTTTGTGTTGTAAGAAACGATAAAGGAGATGATTTCAGATAAACTTGGGAAGACCTACATGAGCTGATACAAAATGAAGTGAGAAGAACCAGGAGATCATTGTACATAGGAAAAGCAATATTGTAATGATGATCAACTGTGAAAGACTTAGCTACTCCAATCAATATGATGATCCAAGACAATTTCAAAGGGCTCATGATGAAAAATGCTATCCATCTCCAGAAAGAGAACTGATAAACTTTGAGTGCAAACTGAAGTACAATTTTTTAACTTTATTTTTCATGCCTTTTTTTTTTGCAATATGGCTAATAGGGAAATATGTTTTGCATGATTTCACCTACATAATTGATGTCGTATTGCTTGTGTTCTCAGTGGATGGAAGAGGAGCTGGAGGAAGTGAAAAATTTGGAACTCAAAATTTTAAAAAGTGAATATTAAAAATAAATAAATTGGGGGAAAAGAATAAATTACTTTTTTAAAAAAAGAAAAAACATTACTTTAAAACTTAGCAACTTCAACCATGATCACTAAACACAAAGGAATATGAAACTTCAAGCACTGATTTTTAAATTAATAGAAAAAAATTTTTAACAAAAAGAGGCATATGTGTTTTAGCAGCACTAAGGAAAGTTGCACTAATAATTTTCCATTGGTGCTACTGAAAATTCCCTCTGAAACTTGACTTTTCATCAGTATAACTAACTTCTGGGCCATTTTACCTGCTTCCCCCAGCAATAGAAGTTGGTTTTTGTTGTTGTTGTTGTTGTTACCATTTTTTTTCTTACTGCTTTAATGACACTGTCAATGTGCCATGTTTAATGGATTGTGTGCTTCTCTTTTTTTATCTTTAGGTAATTCCTCAGCCTCCCTGTATGGCTAAACCTGATACTCTATGGACTGAAGAAGAAAAGAAAATAATCAAAGAATATGAGAAAAAAGTCAAAGATTTAAACGAGGAAAGAGAGAAATATAAAAAGGTCAGGAGGAAGAAGAAGGAATTAGAAATACAAAATTTTTTTTTAAACAGCCTTCTAAACTGCAAATTCTTGTGACTTTGGAGTGAACTTCAGTACTCTACAGATAGTTAAAAAACTTTAAAAATGATTAAATTTAACAATTTAGATTATTCATAACAAATTGACCCAAAAACTTTATAGCAAAAGCTAGGAAAATCAAATAATGCTTATTTTATTGTATCCACTACTGCTCTTAGTGAGGGGGTGAGGGAAGAGTAATACACCTTAAGACAAGCAGAGAAAGGTAAATAGCCATTGAGTCATGCATTCTATATGGTTTCAATTTAAAGGTTTTTTTGCAATGCAAATGCCACTGGTTTTATTTCCTTCCGTCCATATGAAATACATATGCTAACAATGAAAGAGTTTAACATAGAATTCCAGAAGTTGGTTACAACAGAAATAATAGCATGTATGCATTCTTTTGTGAAAGTAGTAAAATAATGAAGTATCCAGTAGGGTATGCTGGCTTGTCAGCCCAATGCTGTTGCATATCAGGTACAACTTCTCTGAGCCTTATTTTTCATCCATATTTCTTTTTCTTTCTGAGGTTCTTAACATGTATTTGATCATAAGATGATGCTTGTAATGAAGCTGAAAATAAACAAGGGTTCAGGGCTACAGTGATAACTGAAAAGAGTGAGAGTCTAAATGCTCCCCCCACCCCCACAAAAAACGGAGGCAGTTAACATGACATATCTGGTGGGTGTTTAAAAGTTCCTTGTTTTGGTGGCATTCAAAATAGTCTTAGCTCTTGCAAGATAAAGCCATATGTTTCACTAGTTCACCACTAGTTTCTGATGTTTATTAACTTGGCATCAATACCTCAATAGAACTTTTATATTCAGAATTGTAGCTGTACTTAGGCACATTTGAAGAAAAAGAGTATTTCCCAGTTTTATATGATAGAAAGCTAACTACATAGAGACATAGAGAAGTTTCCAACCTTAGAAAATGAAATCTCTAGAAATTCACTGAAGAATACTGTTCTTTTTATTTCTGTGAATCTTTTCTAAGTCACAGTGCTACTTAAATCCAGAGGTAAAAGAACTGAAACCTCTCTGTGAGTACCCAAAAACAAGCTATGGGTTTTTCTGAGTTTTATGAGCAATAAAACTTATACTTGAAATTAAAAAAAAAATAACTATCAGCCCATCCATTTCTTGCTGTCCTTTTTCCTAATGAAGCATAGGCAGTTAAAAAAATCCATCCAGGGTAAATTCTTACTCCCTTTGAGAGAGGAGATATTTGTAAGGTTACAGAAGAATCTGAAATCATATTTGCCATATGAATTATCTTTTTTTATGGTGTTTTATTTTTTCCCAGTTAAGTGTTAAGAAAATTTTTAGCTTTCATTTTTACAAGATTTTGACTTCCAAATTTTTTCCCTCTCTCCCTCCCCTCTCCTTTTCTGAAAATGGTAGACAGTTTGATATAGTTTTTATATGTACTATCAGGTAAAATAATATTTCCATATTAGGAACAATTGTGAAAGAAGAAGCAGATATTTTAAAAACCATGAGAAAGAATAAAGTAAGTGAAAAAATATGCTTCAATCTGCATTCAGAGTCTATCAATTCTTTGTCTGGATATAAATAGCATTTTCCTTCATGAGTCCTTTGTGCTTGTCTTAGATCATCGTGTTGCTGAAAAGAGATGAGTCATTCATAGTTGAACATCACATGATCTTGCTGATATTGTGTACAATGTTTTCCTGGTTCTGCTCATTTCACTTTGCATCAGTTCGTAGAAGTCTTTTCAGGTTTTTTTCTGAAATCTGCCTGTTCATCATTTCTTATTGCACAGTAGTATTCCATTACATTCATATACCAGTTTGTTCAACCATTCCCCAATTGATGGGCATCCCCTCAATTTCCAATATTTTGCCACCATGAAAAGGGCTGCTATAAATATTTTGTACATGTAGGTCCTTTTCTCTTTTTATGATCTCTTTGAGATACAGACCTAGTAGTGGTATTGCTGGATCAAAGAGTATGAACAGTTTGGTTGCCCTTTGGGCATAATTCCAAATTGCTCTCCAGAACAGTTCAATCAATTCACAACTCCAAAGATAGTCCATCTGTTTTTTTTTCCCCTCACATCCTCTCCAACAATTTTTATTTTCCTTTTTTGTCATATTAGCCAATGTGATATGTGTGAGGTGGTACCTCAGAGATGTTTTAATTTGCATTTCTCCAATCAAAAGTGATTTAGAGCACTTCTTCATGTGCCTGCAGATAGCTTTGATTTCTTTATCTGAAAACTGCCTGTTCATATCCTTTGACCATTTATCAATTGGGGAATGGCTTGTATTCTTATAAGTTTGACTCCATTCTTGATATATTTGAGAAATGAGGCCTTTATCAAAGACAATGACAGTAGAGATTGTTTCCCATCTTTCTGATTTTCTTCTAATCTTGGTTGCATTGGTTTTGTTTGTACAAAAGCTTTTTTAATTTAATATGACCAAAATTATCTATTTTACATTTTGTAATGCTCTCTACCTTTTGTTTGGTCATGAATTCTTCCCCTCCCCATAGATCTGACAAGTAGACTATTCCTTGCTCTTCTAATTTGCTTATGGTATCACCCTTTATGTCTAAATTATGCACCCATTTTGACTTTATCTTGGTATACAGTGTGAGATGTTGCTCTATACATAGTTTGTATCCTATTGTTTTCCATTTTTCCCAGCAGCTTTTGTCAAATACTGAATTCTTTTTCCAAAAGCTGGTGTCTTTGGGTTTATCAAACACTAGTCATTTGCTACTGTGTCTTGCGTACCTAATCTATTCCACTGATCCACCACTCTATTTCTTAGCCAGTACCAGATAGTTTTGATGATTACTTCTTTATGATATAGTTTGAGATCTGGTATTGCTAGGCCTCCTTCCTTTATATTTTTTATTAATTCCCTTGATATTCTTGACCTTTTGTTCTTCCAGATGAATTTCACTATTTTTCTAGCTCTATAAAATTTTTTTGTAGTATGATTGGTATGGCACTGAATAGGTAAATCAGTTTAGGCAGAATCATTATTTTTATTATATTGGCCCAGTCTACTTTTGAGCAATTGATATTTTTCCAATTGTTTCAATCTGACTGTGTGAAAAGTGTTTTGTAATTATATTCATATGGTTCCTGGGTTTGTATTGACAGGTAGACACCTAAGTATTTTATATTGTTTACAGTTATTTTAAATGGAATTTTTCTTTCTATCTCTTGCTGCTGGGCTTTATTGGTCATATAAAGAAATGCTCATGATTTATGTGGGTTTATCTCATATCCTGCAACTTTGCTAAAGTTGTTAATTATTTCAAGTAATTTTTTAGTTGATGCTCTAGGGTTCTCTAAATTTATCATCATATCATCTGCAAGGAGTGATAATTTTGTCTCCTCATTGCCTATTCTAATTTCTTCAATTTATTTTTCTTCTCTTATTGCTATAGCTAACATTTCTAGTACTATATTGAGTAATAGTTGTGATAATGGGCATCCTTGCTTCACCCCTGATCTTATTGGGAAGGCAGCTAGTTTATCTCCCTTACAGATAATGCTTGCTGATGCTTTCAGATGCTTAATGTTTTAAGGAATACTCCCTTTATTGCTATGCTGTCTAATGTTTTTTAACAGAAATGGGTGCTGTATTTTGTCAAAAGATTTTTCAGCACTTATTGAGATAATCATATGATTTCTGTTAGTTTTGTCATTGATATGGTCAATTATATTGATAGTTTTCCCAATATTGAACCAACTCTGCATTCCTGGTATAAATCCCACCTGGTTGTAGTCTATAATCCTTGTGATATATTACTGTAATCTCCTTGCTAGTATTTTGTTCAAAATTTTTGCATCGATATTCATTAGGGAAATTGGTATATAGTTTTCTCTCTCTCTGTTTTAGCTCTTCCTGGTTTCAGTATCAGCACTATGTCTGTGTCATAAAAAGAGGTTTGCAGGACTCCTTTTTTGCCTATTTTTCCAAATAGTTTATATAGTATTGGATTAATTGTTCTTTAGATATTTGGTAGAATTCACTCATGAACCCATCTAGCCCTGGGGATTTTTTTTCCTTAGGGAGTTCATTAATGGCTTGTTCAATTTTTTTTCTAAGATGGGGTTATTTAGGCATTCTATTTCCTGATCTGTTAATCTAGGTAATTTATATTTATTTTTGTAAATATTCATCCATTTCATTCAGATTGCCAGACTTATTGACATATAATTGGGTAAAATAGTTCTTAATCATTGCTTTAATTTCTTTTTCATTGATGGTGATTTCACCCTTTTCATTTTTGATACTGGATATTTGGTTTTCTTCTTTTTTTAAATCAAATTAACCAATTACTTATCTATCTTATTGTTGTGTTTTTTAAAAAAAAAAAACAGCTCCCAGATTTGCCAGCTCAATAGTTTTCTTACTTTCAATCTTATTAATCTCACCTTTAATTTTCAGGGTTTCCAATTTGGTGCTTAACTGGGGATTTTTAATTTGTTCTTTTTCTAGTTTTTTTAAGTTGCATGCCCAATTCATTGATCTGTTCTTTTTCCATTTTTTTCATACAAGAATTTAGAGAAATAAATTTTCCCCTAAGTACTGCTTTGGCTGCATCCCATAAATTTTGCTATGTTGTCCCATTGTGTCATTCTCTTTAGTGAAATCATTGTTTCTGTGATTTTTTTTGATCCAGTTATTCTTTAGGATTAGATCATTTAGTTTTCAATTAATTTTTAATCTATATTTCCACTGCCCTTTGTTGAATGTAATTTTTATTGTATTATGATCCAAAAAAATATATTTACTATTTCTGCCTTTTAACATTTGATTTTGAGGTTTTTATATGGGCAATTTATGTGGTCAATTTTTGTGTAGGTGCTATATGCTGTTGAGAAAAAAAATGTATATTCCTTTCTGTTCCCATTCAGTTTTCTCCAAAGGTCTCTCATATCTAACTTTTCTAATATTCTATTTACCTCCTTAGTTTCCTTCTTGCTTATTTTTTGGTTGGATTTATTGAGTTCTGAGAGAAGACAGTTGAGGTCCCCCACTGGTATAATTTTGCTTTCTATTTCTTCCTATAACTCACTTAACTTCTCCTTTATATAATCATTAGATGATATACCACTTTATAACATCATTAAGTGATATACCACTTGGTGCATATATGTTTAGTATTGATATTGCTTCATTTTCCACGGTACCTTTTAGCAAGTGTAGTTTCCTTCTTTATCTCTTTTAATTAGATCTATCTTTGCTTTTACTTTGTGTGAGATCAGAATTGCTTCTCCTGCTTTTTTTTTTTTACTTCAGCTGAGACATAATAGATTCTTCTCCAGCCTCTTACCTTAACTCTGTGTGTCTTTCTGCTTCAAGTGTGTTTTTTTGTAAACAACATATTGTAGAATTTTAGTTTTTGATCCACTCTGCTCTCCACTTCTAGTTTATGGGAAAGTTCATTCCATCACATTCACAGTTATGATTACTGTGTATTTCCCTCCATCCTATTCTTCCTTCTGTTTGATCTCTCTCCTTTCACTGTTTCCCTCCTCACCAGTGTTTCGCTTCCATCTACAACCTTCTCTGATCTGCTGTTCCATCCCTTAGTCCCCTCCTTTTACTCGATCTCTTCCCCTCCTACTTCCCTGTTGGTAAGATAGATTTCTATATTCAGCTGATTGTGTATATTATTCCCTCTTTTAGCCAATACTGATGAGAGTAAGGTTCAAGTGATGTTCAACACCAGCCTCCCATTTCTCCCTCCACTGTAATGTCTTCAGTGCCTTTTCATGTGAAATAATTTACCACAGTCTATTCCCTTCCTTCTATACCCAGTGTACTCCTCTTTCTCACCCTTTAAATTTTTTATGTCATTCTCCCAAGTTCACCTTATACCCATATCCTCTGTGTATGTATATTCATTCTAGCTGCACTATTAATGCTACAATTTTTGAGAATTACAAGTATCATCTTCCTATATATGGATATAAATAGTTTAGTTCTGTTGAATCTCTTATGTTTTCTTTTCCTTTTTTACCTGTTTATGCTTCTCTTGAGTTTTGATATTTGAGGTCAAATTTTTGGTTTAGTTCTGGTCTTATCCTTATGAAAGCTTGAAATCCCTCTATTTCATTGAATGACCATTTTTCCCTTTATGTATTATGCTTAACTTCACTAGGTAAGCATTCTTGGTTGTAGTCCTAGCTCCTTTGCCTTCCAGAATATCATGTTCCATGACCCCCAATCCTTTAATGTTGCAGCTGCCAAGTCCTATGTGATATTGATTGTGGCTCCCCGATATCTGAATTGTTTCTTTCTGACCACTTGTAGGATTTTTTCCTTGTCCTAATAGTTCTGAAATTTGGCTGTTGAGAGGTGATCAGCAGATTCTTTCAGTGCCTATTTTGCTCTCTGGTTCCAGGACATCAGGGCAGTTTTCCTTGATAATTTCTTGAAAGATGCTGTCTGGGTCCTCCTTTTGATTATGGCTTTCAAGTAGTCCAGTGATTCTGATATTATCTCTCCTGGATCTATTTTCCAGGTCAGTTGTTTTTCCCATGAGGAATTTTACATTTTATTCCATTTTTTCATTCTTCTGATTTTGTTTGATTGATTCCCGATGTCTCATAGTGTTGTTAGCATCCACTTGCCCAATTCTAACTTTTAAGGAGTTGTTTTCCTCAATTAGCTTTTGTACTCTCTTTGTTATTCAGCCAATTGTATTCTTTAAGTTTGTGCTTTGGTCTTCCCTTCCACCATAATAATTTTCTATGGTCAGCTTCTTTTTTTGTTGTTTTTTGCTCATCTTTTTTTTGTTGTTTTGGCCTTTTTCCTTTCTTTTAAATTAGATCTCTGCTCCCAGGGTGGAAAAGGCTCTGTCTTGGGCTTCTTGTGCCAGTGGCTACATGTTGGCTATTTACCTGGTGCTGTACTGATGTTGTCCTCATGTCTGGTACTGTGTTGAGGTGGTGGCATAGGGGTTGGCAGGTGCTTCTGGAGGCCATAGGGAGCTTACCTGGTGTTGAGCTGGGGTCCTAGTGGTGGTGTCTGGCATATGTTAAGTCCCAGTGCGGTTTTTTCTGCATTTCCCTGGGGCTACACTGAAGGCCATGGAGGTCTGGCCCTTGGAGGATTCCTGTTTTCCCTGGGCTATGCTGAAGCATGTGGTAGTTTTTGGAGCTGGGGTGTGCCAGTTCCCCTAGCTATGCTAAGGCACATGAGGGTCCTAGTATTGGCATTTGCCTGCTTCATCACACTGGGGCTCAGGCTCTCCCACTGGTTTGTTAGGCTTCCTCTCCTATACTGTGCTCCCCTTTTACCTGAGTGAGGTGGACCTTTTTTGCTGATTATTCAAGTCTCCTAGGCTAAAAGGCCACTCCACCCTATCTTTTACACTGTCTCCACTGTTCAAGAATTTGTTCTGGGGAGTTATTTTATGATTGTTTGGAGATGAATAAGGGAGAGCTACAGAGATTTACTGCTTACTATGCCATCGTGGCTCCCAGAATTCACCATGTGATTTTTCTATTAGTGTAGAAGAAATACTAGAATACAGGTCATTGGTATGGAAAGAAGTCTAGCTAATGTAATCAATCAGTACACATTTATCAAGTGCCTGCTTTGGGTCAGGCAATGTACTAGGCATTGAGTACTCAAGAGACAAATGAAATAGTCCTTGTCTTGAAGGAGTTTATGATCTTTTGGAAGAGCTTTTATTCTATCAAATGTAATTGTAAATGTGAATTTTTTTGTAGTAAGCAAAATCAGAGATGTTTATTTTTAAAGTATGATTTTTAAATTACATTTTTCTGACTATAACCACATTTAAAAACATTAGTTGATATGGCCAAAGAATTAATCAAGTAGCCAGTCTACCTAATGCTAACAAGCCTCTCTGCACCTATTTAGACTGATCCTCAGAAAGCAGATTCATTCTGTTGTCAAGAGTATATCCAAAGCTTTTCAATCATGGTAAAATCTGTCAAAGTTTGTGCTTGGATAGGATAGCCTTCAAGAACACAGCGTTACCTTCATGCCAGAACAGTAGGGCTGTATGGAGGAAGAAAATGAGTGAAAAAAGAAAAATGGGCTGGTTATATGGCAAGAGAGATAACCATTAGATAGCCTGTATCTTTGAGATGTCAGAAGAAGGAAAAGAAGGCCTTGGGCATGATGGATGGACACCCTGTGGCCAACTTATGGGAGGACATGGATAGTTGCACAGAATAAGTGAGCATGTATGAGTTGGGATCTGCATCACTGCGAACACACTCAAATTGAGAAGATCACTTCCTTTTGAATAACCATGCTTTTAAAACCCACCATAACTGGTCTGTGGCTTTATAAAAGCAACATCTCTGTTTTTATATATGACGTGGTCACTTATTCACTTAATGATACCCAGTTCTTTACTAGGAGTTGCCAGAGTTTTTAAAGATACTTTATTTCTTGTCCTAAAGGAACTTAGCTAGATAGAATGACAGAACATGTCAACATGAAACAACTAGAGAATCATTACAAAGCATCTTATGAATTAATGCAATATATTTATATGCATATATGTATGCAAAACTTTTTTCATAAAGTCCAAAAAGCTTATCAAAACTGGTTCATTAAATAAGATGAAATGACTTTTTGGCCCTTGTTTCCCTATCACTTAGCACATAGTAGACACTTAATAAATACTTGCTGATAACCTGAAAATAAAGTATATATGTGAGCACTTTGCAAACTGTAAAGCTATAAAACTTGCTGTATTATTGCTTTAAGGAAAAAAATCAGACACTCCAGGCCAAAGATGTCCTTAGTAGTGCTCACTTATCCCTATGGCAGTAAAGTTAACATTGTCCATTTGAAGTTGACTATGACAGGCTCTTCTTATTATCTTGTGACAAATAAATTCCTAAAAGTTAACTTTACTGGTATCTTTATTCTAGTCATTGGATGCTGAATTAAGGAAGCTTCAAAACTCTATTCAAGAAACAACACAAATTTTCGATGGTCATTTGGCAAGACTCTTTCAAAGGAAGGTGAAATGTGATATGGTTATCAACCAGGTAAAGTAAAAGTCATGAATGTAAGCCTCAACCAAGGATAGGGAATCTTGAACCCTGACTACATGTAGTTATGATACACTGACTTAATTCCTTTCACTCAGATTTCTGAGATAGAGTAATGAGCAGTAATTCTTTTTTTTTTTAATTTAACTAAGTGCCTACTATGTACAAGGCACCATACTAGATGCTGAGAATGCAAAGGCATGGCTAAAACAGTCCCTGCTCTTAAAGAACTTAAATTACACTGGCATAATGCAACATGTGTATGGATAAGTAAATACTAAGTAATCTGAGAATCGAGAGAGAAATGATTGCTAAGGGGAACAGGAAAGGATTTCAATAGGAAGAGACCCTTGAGCTGAGCCTTGAGGGAAAGTAATTATTCTAAAAGGTAAAGGTGAGGAAGGGGCTTAATTCCAAGCTTAGGGGACAGGCCATGCAAGGTCAAAGAAAAGGGAAAAGGAATACTTAACTTCAGGAAACAAATAGGAGGCTGGTTTCACCAGATCACAGAGTGTTTGGAAGATAATATGGGATAAGTTTAGAATTACCTGACAAGCTATGAATGGCCTTAAAATCCAAGGTAAGGAGTTATATTTTATCCTGGAGACAAGAAGGAGCCATTTTTGAAGAATTAAGTGACATTCTCAGACCTGTACTTTAGGGAGATTATTTTGGCATTCGTGAAGATAATGTATTAGAAAGGAGAGCATCTGAAAGTGGGAAGAAAAATTAGGAAATTATTATAATAGTCCAGAAAAATGGGAATAAGTCATGTATCACTGTGGTAGCTGTGAGTGGAAGAAAAGGGACTGATTTTTTTAAAAAGACTATTGTGGAGGTAGAAATGGCAAGACTTGGCATTAGATTTGATTAAAAATAGGGGTTGAGAGAGAGGGAAAAGTCAAGTGACTCCAAGATTGTAAACAAAATGACTAGGAAGATGAAAATAGCCTCAAGAGACAGGAAGTTTGGAAAAGGGACAGATTAGGGGAAAAGATAAGTTCTGTCTTGGAAAAGTTGACTTTGAGACATCTACGGAATATTCAGGTGGAGATAGCCAGCAAGCAGTTGGTGATACAGGGTTATAGTTCAGGAAAGGTATTCTGCCTAGATATATAGATCTGAGAGTCATTTAAGTAGAAATTATAGCTGGAATCGTGAGAATTAATGAGACCAAATAAGAGTATATATGTGTGTGTATGTGTGTGTGTGTGTGTGTATGTATGTATGTATGTATGTATGTATGTATGTATATAGACAAGAGAAGAGGGCTTAAGACAAAGCTTTGGCCATACTCATGCTCGGAGTGAAAGACAGATGATATTTTATCAAAGGAGACTGAAGTGCAGTCAGACACATAGAAGAACCAGGAGTTAAATATCACAGAAGCCGAGGAAAGAGAAAATGCATAGGAGGAGTGAGGGAGTGACTATATCTGGCATAAGAGAGTCTTTCCTAGAAGGATGTAGGGTTCCTCCACTGACCCTTCCTTTTTACACCTGGGTTCACAGTGTCATACTCCCCCAATGTAGGTATAGTTGTCAAGAGGTTAAGTCTTTGTGCTGATACCCAGTTTATGTTTAAAGAAAGGCCCGTGGGTGGGCCTGCCAGACACAGGGAAAACAAACCCTTATGAGGTAGGGTTCTGAGAATAACATGTAAAACAATAGGAGCTAGTTCAATGCAAAGCTTTATTGCAAGCAATGGGGAAGAGGGGGAAGGGGATTAAGGAAAAGGGGACTCAACATACAACTTAGGCATACACACTAACCTACAGAGCATAACTCATACAAGGGCAGTGCTGTGCTGGGGAATGCAGAGAAATGGGTTCATTCAGCAGAAATGGGGTACTCCTGCTGCTGGAAGGCAAGTTATACTTCTGCTAGAGAGGAGAATATGCTCCAAAGTGCTCTTTCTGAGACTGAAGTTCTTATACTGTGATTTTAGATGGCTTCCTGGGGGCTGGCCAAACTGCATAGTGGGTCAGGGCAAAATATTATTTTAGGGGTTTGTTATCAGGGAGAAAAGCAAGCCGGTGGTAGACAAAATATTATTTGGGGGACACAGCTATGCCAACCTTCAAAAAATGTTATTGTCAGCATTTTTTTCATGAGTATGTTCTATAAACTTACACTCTCCCTTAAGGAGAAACTGTTATGGGGATCTCAAGACCAGCAGGCCTAATCTAATAACCATATCAGAAGCTGAAGAGAAGTCAAATATGATGGGAATTAGAATTAAGGCCATGGGATTTAGCAGTTTAAAAATCACCTGTAACATTAGAAAGAATAGTTTTAGTCAAGTGGTAAGCAGGAGAAGTACACCTTTTAATGGGTTGAGAAGTGATAGAGCAGTTTTTTTAAAAATGGAGGTAATGAGAATAGATATCTTTTTTTAGGAGCTTGTGAAAAGAAATATAGTTTGAAGGAATGGCAGGGACAAGTGAAAGACTGAAATGAACTAGCACTTTTAGGAAGCAAGAGGTATCAGGGATAAAGGCAGCTAGGTGGCACAGCATATACAACATTAACCTGTGTTCAAATCCTGCCTCAGACACTTAATAGCTGTTTGACCATGAGCAAGTCACTTAACCTGTTTTGTCAGTCATTTTGCTATCTATAAAATGGGGATAACATCACCTACCTTTTAGGGTTGTTTTGAGGATTAAATGAGCTATTATATATAAAGTCCTTTGCAAACCTTAAAAGGCCATATAAATGCAAGCTATTATTTGTAGCTATTATCAATAGAAAAGCTAGCCTTGGCAAAGAGAAGGACAACCTCTACTCAGTGACTGGAGAAAAAGGGAATCATGGAGAATGATGCAGAAGAGATTAAGTGTGAATAAGGGATGAAAGAAATGTCAAAGCAAACAGTCTTGATATTCTCAGTAAAGTGGGAGATAAAGTTCTTCACTGAGAAACAGGATTAGGGTGGCAGAGGTTGCTGAAAACAGATGAGAGGTTTGAAACAGGTAAAGTAGCTTGCCTGATAGATACTGTTAAAAAAAGGATTGCTTTGGAGCAATAAGGACCCAGTGGAGATTAGTTAACATGAATTTGTTGTGAATTTAATTGACACAGTTGTTTAATTTTCTCCAGCAGTATTCCACAGCACAGCAATTGGTGGAGGTAAACCAGGGTTAAGGACTGGCAAGATAGTATAGTATTAGGACAAGGAAGCAAAGAATTCAAGGGTGAGGAGTACTTTTATGGTTCAACTAATCATCTATAAGGTCAAAATTGGGAAGGAAGGAAAGTGAGTTGGATCATGCCCAGAGGGATGAAGAGACTGAACAGTCACAAGAGGATAAAAGATTGGTTTAAAAAAAAAAGAAAGAAAGAAAGAGGAAGTGGGAGAGATAGGAGAGCAGATTTGAACAAAGAAGAGAATATCAGAAGTCAAGATGATAGAGGAGGCACAGTTATGGATGATGATGAAATCCAAAGTATATTCCCACCCCCATGGATGTGTCTAAAGTGGAATGGTGTAGAAGCTCTGAATGGATAATAAAGCCTGAAGGAGTATACACTCTGTGGAGGATGCTAGCCTTGAACCAGGGCTTGAAGACTGGATAGGATCTAGATCCTTGAAAAGGAGCACAGAAAAGTGTTTTCCAAGCACCTCTTTCCTCTTCTTTCACGATATTTCTCCTTCCTCCCAACCACCCTGCCAACTACTCCTAAAGTAGAAATAAACTCTATATATTATACTGAACTTGGTTTTCTGTATCAGTTCCCTATTTTTAAAAACCACTAGAACATTTTGTACCAATTTTTACAATAAATGGTATCTTAATTTTATGTAGTGCTTGTTTTATTTTATCTGAGGGTTGAGAGGTTTCCTCAAGTAGCATTATTAATCTATTTTCCATTGTTAATGTTTCAACAGGAGGAATTAAAAATAGCCAGCCTTACTTTTTCTTTACTGCTAGATGAAGAACTACTAACAAGAGAAATAGAATTGAACAGCGTTCTTGAAAGAAAACAAGAAGAAAAAGTAATCATAACAGTCTTTTTCTTATTGAAATGCCACCATGATCCATACTCACTCAAATGTTCCAAATCGTTTACTCTATGCCTCTTTTTCCGTGTACCAGAGTCCAGTATCTCATCTCAAATCATTTAACATCTCTAGTTCCTAATCTATGAAATGCGGGGATTAAGTGTATAATATTTCTTCAGTATCTTCAAACTCTAAATCCTGTGAACCTATAATCCACAGCCTTGAGACTCTGTTCTGCGCTCTGTGACAACACCTCTCTGTGTGCTAATGTAGTGGTCTCCACAGTTTTGTGACTGAACCATGTTGGCAATCACTATTAACCAAATGGGCCACAAGATTACTTTATGCCCAGTAGTCTGATGTGATATGACATGATACATAATGTGATATACCATAGAAATGAAAAGTCTTGTAAACTGCAGTTTACATCTGAAAGCCATGTGCACTCTAAGGATGATCGTGTTAATACTGATAATAACCTAAGAGAATTGTTCTTCCTACATAATGCAGATCTCTAAACTCCCTGACAACTCTAAATTCTAAGATCCAGGTCTAAACAACAGCCTTTTTCAAACACAATGCCTTCAGGCAAAATTATAATTTTCCAGAATTTTGGCACCTCTTAAATGATACGTATGAACTGAGCTGGTCCTGTCCATGTTACTGCATGATCCTTGTTGCTAGTAGGGTAGTTCTTCACCAGCAGACTTTTGTCTATGCATACCACTAACATCCTCAGGTTTTCCTAAATAAATAATGATAAACAAGAGCAAGAATTAAGTAGACTAACTGACGCATTGAAATAGGAAAACTTTTGCAGTTTTTTTAAAAATAAAGATTAGATTTGAACATGAACTTATATGTGGTACATTTGAGACCCTCTGTAGATTTCTGGCTTTGTTGAACTGTTTAAACAACTGTTAGAATATTTATTTCTGAAAATTATTTTTGGTTTATCTTACCTCATCAGTATTAAAGAATGGAAAGTGTATGCTCCATTGACACATTTAGGAAACTTCTTGTTCTTTTTACTGTTTGCAGAATGTTTAATTGTCTTCAAAATATTTATTGTTCTGTTTGGCTAATCCTCATTTTGTTACAGAAATTCACTACAGATGAAATCTACAAAGCTCGTGAAGAACTTGATACATACAGGGAAAATTATGACAACTTCCTTATAGAAGACAAAGTAAGGGTCATCTATTCCTTACTATTTGTATATATTTGTATATACTATTTGTATCTCTGAATGTATAGGGTTGGGAGGGACTGAAAGGAATAGAATTTCCTCACAGATTTTCTTTTTTTGGATGGTTTTACTTTGATTCTTAAGTATAATTACATCTTACTTTATGCCACTATGCATTCCTCAAAAAGTGTATGTGAACAGAATTTTGGGAAATTGCCACCCTTATCTTGGCCTCAGGTCCCTTCTCTTTAAAATGAAGGTAAAAATATAAGCATATGCCAAGAAGATGAGTAGCATCAGCCCTCCCACTCTACACATAGCACTGTGCAAATATCCCAAGTTGATTCACCAATAAAGTAGATCAGTGGTTCCCAACTTTTTTTAGGTTGTTGTACAAACCCTTTTGAACAAAAATATATTGTGAACCCGAAGGGTAATTTAGTATACTACTCATTATATTCTGCAATTATTTACTGCTTAAGGAGCCATTAAAGTATTTTTAGTGCAAACCCCTTGGACCATTACTACAAACTCCCAGGCAGTTTGCAAACCACTATGTGGAAACTACTACATTAGAGGATCACAAATGCTCATTTCAGGTCTAGAGTTCTATAATTCTATCAAATACTATTTAAGGCACCAGTTAACAAAATCTTTAGCAACTCCTTTTGCAATATGAACTAACATTCTTACAAATTTAACCTCTAATATATTTCTTATATTGTTCTCTCTCAAAATGGGACACAACAGAATTTTGAAGGAGACATGTCAGTAAACAAAAGGTTTCAAGTTATAGTTCTAGTGACAGCATGTTTTTCCTATAGGTTCTGGAGCGGGGATTTAAAAAAGAGTTTGCTGAGCTTCATGGTCATCTGGTTGAAACACTCTACAAACAGTACAAACGCCGACCAAGGTTGATTTCACTTTTATTTGGACAATATCTCTTGTTAATATCAGTCAGTCAGTCAATAAGCATTTGTTAAATTACTACCATGTGCCAGGCAATATATGCTAAGCAGTAGAAATACAAAAAGAAGCAAAAGACAGTCCCTCATAGACCTCACAATCTAATGGCGGAGACGACAACAACAACAAAAAGAAATATGTTTTTGCTACATACAGGATAAACAAAAATTAAAAGAGGGAAATCACTTGAACTAAGAGGGGTTAGGAAAGGCTGCTACATGAGGGAAGTTAGAGAAGGCATTAGGCAGAGATGAGGAAGGAGAGCATTCCAAGTATGGGGGACAGCCAGAGAAAATGCCCAGAACAAGCAATGAAGTGTCTTGTTCATCAAACAGCAAGGAGGCCAATATCACTGGACCAAAAAATACAAAGAGGGAAGTAAAGTGTAAGAAGAATGGAAAAGGTGGAGGGAGGCTGGTAATACTATAAAGAACTTTGAATGTCAAACAGAAGATTTTATATTTGATCCCATAAGTGATAGGGAGGCATTAGAGTTGGCTCCAGGAGGAGGTAACATGGCCAGACCTGAACTTTGGCAGATGAATGCAGGAGAGTTTGGAGTGGTTAGAGTTGGAAAGGTAGATTTGAGAATCATTAGCATTAAAATGATAGTTAAATCCAAGGGAACTGGTGAGTTCCACAACTGAAATAGTATAGAAGAAAAGAGGACCAGGACAGAGCCCTGTGAAACACTTAAGGTTAGTGGGCATGGCCCAGATAAGGATCCAGCAAAGGAGACTGAGAAGGAAAGGTAAGATAGGTAGTAAGAGAACCAAGAGTGGTATCCCAAAAACCTGGAGAGAAGAGAGGATCAAAGAAAAAGGGTCATCAATATTGTCAGTGGTTGCAGAGAGGTGAAGAAGAATGAAGACAGAGGGGGCAGGTAGGTGGCACAGTGGATAGAGCACTGGCCCTGCAGTCAGGAGGACCTGAGTTCAGATCTGGCCTCAGACACATAATACTCACTAGCTGTGTGACTCTGGGCAAGTCACTTAGCCCCAGTTGCCCTCACCAAAAAAAAAGAACAATGAAGACAGAAAAGGGTATTGGATTTGGCCTTTTAGGAGATCATTATTAATTTTGGAGACAGCAGCTTCAGGGTAATGAAGAGGTCATAAACTGGCTTGTAAGGGATTAAAAAGAGAGTGAGAGGAAAGAAAGTGAAGGCAGCTCTTGTAGATGGCCTTCTCAAGGTGTTTAGCCACTTATGGCAGAAAAGATAAAGGGATAATAGCAGTGTTGGAAAGATCAAGTGAAAGTTTGGGGCACATTTGTAGGTAGAAGGAAAGGAGTTACTAGATAGAGAGAGATTGAAGGTAAGTGATAGAATGGGGATGACAGAGAGGACAATCTGTTGAACAAAGCAGGATGGAATGGGATCACAAGTGCAGGTAGAGCCTTGGTAAGGGTAGCCTTTTCATGTAAGACAGAGGTAAAGGAGAAGATAGTGGCAGAAGGCAGATAAGTAGCCTTCTTCATATGAGACAAGGAAAATGGGAGAAGAGGGAACTCTTGGCTAATGGCCTTATTTTTTTTGTAAAATATGAGACAAGGTTCTTAGCTAAGAGGATTGGGGGTTGGGGAGCCATGGGAGGTTTGAGAAGGAATAAAAAGGTTTGGAAGAGTTGCTGTGGGAAAGGAAATAGTGAGTTGATAAGGGAGGTACAGAAGGATTGTCTAGCAGCACTGAGGGTCTAATTGAGGTTGTGTAACATAACTTTGTAATGGACCCAATCAAGATGGTTGAATAATTTTCTCCATCTTTGTTCAGCAGTCCATGTGTAGGAACAAAAACAGCAGCCTGTGGAAGTGACCCAAGGCTGAATGAAGTTTAGCAGATGCAATGAACAGTATGATAAAAGTGCCAGGGATTAAAAAAAAGAGAACATTGTAGAGTTGAACTGGTTCACAAAGGGGTTAAGATGGGGAAAAGAAGAGACAGTGGCTTTGTAGAGGTGATAAAAATGAAGGGTCAAGGAATTGTTGGTTATGGTATGGATGAAAAGTAGTTGTGGGAAGGGAAAGGAGAGGTAGAAAGTCAATAGATTATGATCAGATAAAGGGATTTCAGAATTACTGAACATGGGGATGGTGGGGGGCAAAGGCAATGGCCAGATCAAGGAAAGATAATGTTTCTTAATTACTTTTTTATTTATAAAATAAGGAAATTTCAGGATTTCTTTTCCCTATATAAAAAATTAGTGCAATATCCTCTGGCTGAAATATTAATACAAATACTTCTTTGATCAACAGGCTAAGCACATAAGGGAATTTTATAGTATAACACACAGTAAGTAAAGCAATTTGAGATTAGGGCAGATAGGTGGCACAGTGGATAGAGTGTTGGGCCTGTAGTCAGGAAGACCTGAGTTCAAATCCAGCCTCACATACTTACCAGCTGTGTGACCTTAGGTGAGATACTTGTTTGTCTCAGTTTCCTCATCTGCAAAATAGGGATAATAACAGCACCTATCTTCTAGTATTGTGAGAATTAAATGAGATAATAATTGTAAAGCGCTTAGCACAGTGTCTGGCACAGAATAAGCACTATATAAATGCTAGCTATCATTATTATTACTATTACATTCAGATAAAATATAATAATCTATCATGCATTTTGAAATTGCATCAAAATCTTAATCATAAAAGTAAAGATTATTATTTCTTTTTATCATTAAAAACTGATTCATTAAATATTTATGCACATGGTGCTATTTTGGTGTTCAACTCTGCATGCTAGCCTTTCCCTCTTTCAATCAAGTTATATAAAGTTCTACTATAGATGAAGAAATTGTGGCAAATAATAATCACAAAAGCAAGCCTAAAATAGTTTCTGATTTTACATTAAGGAAAGTTACATTGAATGTATCTGTGATTAATTTCTGTAATTACCTAATCTAATTGCCATTATTTTTAAATCAAAAGGAATATGATCTAATGATTATAGGTTCTAGGGGTCTAGAAATTCACCTGTAGTACTACAAATAGATTTACCATGTGAGTCTTGTCATATGATATATACACACATGCATGTGACACACATCTGTACAGATATCTATTTACATATACATATACATATCTTGTGATCCTTAGCCTTCTGATAGATTATTTTCCCTATGTTTAAAAATGTATATGGAGAATACTATTCTTTCTAGGGACTCTTCAGGACCTTCCACTATTCACAGGTTTATGGGCTCTGAGTTGGAAGGAATCTTAGATATTATCTAGTATAACCACCTCTGAAAGATTCTTCTTTTCCTCAATTAATTGATGAGGTCAATTTTCTCTTCCTTTGGGGAGAGGAACTGGAAAAATATAAGCATATGCTCATCAAGAAGATAAGTAGCATCAGTCCTCCCACTCCACACATAGCACTGTGCAAATATTCCAAATCGATTCACCAATAAAGTAGGTAACACTGTACTGGGCATGACAAAGGAGGACAGTTAAAGTAGCAATCATTCAATCTACAAGCATTTATGAAGCCCTTACTATGTACCAGAAACTGTGCTGGGTGCCAGGGATACAAAAACAAAAGTGAAATTGTCCCTGACTCAAGGAGCTTACCTTCTATTGGGGTAATCAAGCATGTGGATGTTTGGATGGATGGATGGATAGATAGACAAGACTAGACAGATAGATAGATAGATATCTCAGTATATACAAATTTATACAGGGGAATATGGGTGGTTCTAGTAGCTAAAAAGCTTGATATAGGTGATGGCTCTTGAATGAATCATAAGGAAAACTAAGGATTCTGACAGAAGAGAAGAGAAAGGGAGAACATGCCATGAATGGAAGACAGTCAATTTAAAATATAGATATGGTAGATGGAATGGCATGTATAAGAACAATAAGGAAATCAGTTTATCTTTACTACAGTGTGTAAAGTAGACAAATGTGTATTAAGGATAAGAACGTAAACTGGGGCTGATTTGAAAAAGGAGTTTCAATTTGATCCACTATTTGAGTGACAGGGAGCCACTGAGCTACTAAAGTTTTTCGGTTGTTTGTTTTTGTTTTTGTTTTTTTTTAATGGGGAAGTGATATAGAAAATCACTCTGGCAATATCTTAAAGGATGGATTAGAAAGGAGAGAGAAAATGTGAGGAGACTAAGTTGAAGGCCTCGAATTAAGGTAGTAGCTATGTGGATAGAGAAAATGGGTAGATTGAAGAGTTCTTGTGAAGATGCAATCAAACAAGATTTGCATCTGCTTGGCTTTGTGAGATGAAAGTGAAGGGTAGAAGATTGCACTAAGCTTGCAAACCTGCATGACTGGAAGAATGGTGCTGTCCTCAACAAAAAAGAAAGTTCAGAAAAGGAGTAAGTTTGGGAAGAAAGGTAAGTTCTGTTTTGGACATCATGAGTTTGAAATGCCTAGACACTGGCCAGTTGAAAATGTTTAATAATCAATTTGTGAGGCGGGACTAGAGCACAGGAGTAAAACTAAGGCTGGATACATAGATCTTAGTGCCATCTGCATGGAGATGATAATTAAATCCAGGGGATCAATCTTATGGGTAACCAAATAAGAATGTAGAGAGAGAAAAGGGCCTAGAACAGAGCACTGGGAAATTAGGAAGCAGGTATGATGACTTGGCATAGAAAATCAAGAAGGAATAGTCAGGTGAGAAAACAAAAAGAAAAGCATCATGAAAACCCTAGAAAAGAAAGAATATTCAGAGGAAAAAATTGTCAAAGGTATCAAATACTGTACAGAGATCAAGAAGGATGAGGACTGGGGAAAGACCATTAGATTTAGCAATTAATATAATCATTTACAACTTTGGAAAAAGATGTTTCAGTTGAATGAGATCAGAAACCAGATTGTAGAGGGTAGAGAAATGAGAAAAAGGAAAGGGAATTGAGATCATATTTGAGCATAAGATAGTTTTTTCAAGAAGTTTGACTGAAAAAGGGAGGATAGAGAAAGAGAACAGGTTGAATGAATCTCTTAGGTTCCAGTGAGGATTTTTTGAAAATGGGAAAGACTTGGCATTTTTATAGTCAACACAGAAGGAACTAGTAGAAGAGGAAGAGCATGAAGAGTAGGAGGACTGGTGATTGAGAGTACTGTGAGGGCAATCTGCCAGAGAAGGGAGGAGAAGGGATCAAAAGTACATACAGAATAGCTGATAAAGTGTAAAATTACTTCCTCAACAAAGATTGAAGAGAACAGCAGTGAGGAGGGGCCATATCAGAGTTGTGAGATGTAGATAAGGGGAAAAGAAGGAAATAATGGAGAATGGCTTCAGTTTTCTCAATAAGATACAATGTGCTCAGCTACAGCATTTTTCTCAGGCTGAACTCCTGAACAGTGTTTCCCACTCTTCCCTGACTACAACTCAATGTTAAGTATCAATGCATTGATATGTGTACTCAAAAAAGAGGGAGTTCTTTTCCAAACTACTATGCAGCTAGATTCCTGGGTGCTAATAAAGGGAAGGGATAGGAGATAAGCATTTTATTAAGTACCTGCTTTGTGCCCGGTACTTAATAAGTGCTTCTGCAGCAGTACCTGGCACAAAGCAAGTTTACAAATATTATTTGTATTGAAGTCAAAATAGTCTCTGGCCAGACAAGCTATTGGCAAGAAAGCTTCAATGGAAGCAAAGGAGTCTTCTTTGCAATAGCTTGGCTGGCCTAGAGACTATTATTTGTCTATTCTGTAGAGAATTAAGCCCAGAAGGGTTGTATTCTTGAGGTCTTTTGGCAAACGGAGCTACACTTAATATCTTGTTAAAATTACTATTTAATGTTGATACTTTTTAATGTATGATAATATGATCTTAACTTGTCTTGGAAAATTTGGTGTATATTTATTAATAATGCTAGGCTGCTGAAGCAAAAGCAAGCAGAGGTTGCTAGCCCTTTTGGAGAACGGCTAGGGTCTGTCCAAATTCAGAAGGAGAACCTTGCCCAATTAATGAATGGCATGGAAGAGCTGGATAATCCAATTAATATGCCAGAAGGCATAGAACCTCCAGTCTGGACGCATTTATGTGCTCTAAGAAGAACAAAAGTGGAAAGCGAACAAAAAGTAATGTTTTATTTTTATCTATTAATATTAAATAGAGAGAGTTGGCTGTTGGGCTGAAATAGTTTTTCTCTTTTTAATGTTTGTTACAAGGAAGAGATCAATGGGTGGGTGGAGAATATATACATATATATATATAAAATGAATGACATCTATTAAATATACATGTATTAAATGAATGACATAAAGACAAAAAGCATCAATTGAAAATTTTTAGAAATCAAATATGGAGTTGAATTAGCTTAGAAGGATTTTTTAAGGATAAACATACTCTGTGTCTCCCTAATAACATAATAAATGTTGGTAGTATCAGAGTATTATATTAGATATTGAGTCTTAAAGCCTGCACTGGGAGAGATAACAAACACACTGGATATTAAAGTTAGCATACAAAAAAATCTTGACAATCTAGAATGCTAAGCAAAATCTAATAAAATAACATTTAATCAGCATAAATGTAAAGTCTTAGTCTTAGGATGGAAAAAAATCAGCTTCACAGATACCAGATGGGAAAAGAGAGATTAGACAGTAATTCTTCCAATACAGATCTATGTATTTTGGAGAACAGTGAGCTAAACATGATTGTAATAAACAGCCAAAAAACTGCTTTGAGAGAGTCATAATTTTCAGGAATAAGAAGATCAAAATACTGCTGTATCTGCCCTGGTCAGACCACATCTAGAGTGCTGTGCTCAGATCTAGGGATCATATTTGATAAGCAGGAAAGCATCCTCCTGGGGAAAATTACCACCACCAGAGAGGGTGATGAAGAGTTCTGAGTGAATGACGTATGAGGATCAGCTGATGTAACTGGGATAGCTTTCCTTATGTATCTGCAGGGCTGCTATAGAGAACAGACTTGTTTTATTTGTCTCCGGAGGGCAGAACTAGGAATAACGGCTAAAAGTTGTAGAGAAGCAATTTTAAGCTTTGTGTAAAGAGAAACTTCCTAAAAATTAGGGCTACACAAAACTGGAATGGTCTGTATGAGTGGGAATTGTGAATTCCCCCTAATTTGAGGTATCTGGGTACTAAAGTATTGGATGACCATTTGGCAGGTATGTTGTACAAAGAACTCTTTTTCAAGTGTGCATTGGACTATCTGGCTACTGAGGTCCATTTCAACTCAGAAATTCTATGTTCCTATTATTTTAATTTTCCTGGTAGTAGGAGACAGAGCAGGTCTGTAGCAACAGAATATCTGTTCCTTCCCTTTGGCAGGTTTCTTCTTTCTTTCCCAGGAAGCAACAAAGAGCAAAACTATTTAATTCAACATACCGAGCCTTATTTTGTAGCTGGGTTACATCCTTTAAAGGGTAAAACAGATGAGAAACATGGTACTGCCCTTTACTTGACAGGCACTGAAAGGACACAACCCCATTTTCAATCTCTCAAAAAAAAATTCCCTCATCATTAAATACAGTGCCATTAACACATGACCTAGCATCTTGAAACTCATGTTTCTATTCAACTAACAATTTGTTAGAAAGAAATCTAAAAATCAGGAGCAAGCAAAAAATGATATTGTTGGCATATTTCATTTTCAACAATAAGGAAATTTTATACTCTCAAGTACTGGCAGAGAATGTCATGGATTAAGTTCCTTTATACTGCCCGCTGACATTATTAGGTGATTGATCTTTGATTAAATGGATTCTTCTTGTGAAAATTATTTTTTAAATCATTGAAACAGGTTTGTTCTAATTTTTCTTCTTATGATCTAAGAGGTTATGCTTTGGTTTGTTCAGATAAAGCAAAAAGCGCTTGTTATGCTGGAAATGCAGACCTTCCTCCAGAAAAGAACTGAGGATGATGAGAAGGTGCAAATGGACATAGAAAAAGTTTTCCAGGAACTCATCATGTAATATGACTATTGATTATTTAATTTACATTTATTTAGGCCTATTTGAAATCTAGTCCAAAGTTTTTAAGCTGGGGGGAAATCTCTAATATAAAGAAGACTGACATCAGTGGGTTTATCCTTGAATCCTTCATCATTATGGGAATGAGTTTTGAAAACTCTAAAACCTGAGACCCCATTGTAAAAAAAATCACATAGTCCAGGTTAAGATTCCTTCATTTTGTTGCTCTTCTGTTTTTCGTAAATAGGGATTATTAGAAAGTTTTCCTAATGCCTGCCTCTGTTCTTTATAGAAGAAAAGCAAATGTCTTTGCCTGGATTTTTTGGCTAACTTAATGCTGGCTAATAAAAATAATAATAAATCTGCAAGCACTTATTAAGGATCTATTATATGCCTGGAACTGTACTAGTCCTGGGAAAACAAAAACAAAAATGAAATAGTTCCTGCCCTCAAGGGACTTAAATTCTATTGGGAGAGACAAAATATGCATAAAGAAGTTATATCCAAAAGTGATATATGATAATTTTGTGGTGATCAGGAAAGGCCTTATGTGGAAGGTTGGTTTTTGACTTGAACTGTGAAGTAAACTAGTAATCCTAAGAGATCAAGGTGAAGAGAGTGTATACTAGTTAATAGAGACAACCTGCTCAAAGGCATGGAAACAAAAGATAGAATACATCATGTGTGATATATAGCAAGAAGGCCAGTTTGGCTGGACCACAGAGTGCATGAAGGAAGTAATATAAGATAAGGCTGGAAAGGGAGCCAGATTATAAAGGGCTTTAAATGCCAATCACAGAAATCAGTATATGATCCTAGAGGTAATAGCTAATGGAATTTACTGAGCAGGAAAGTGACACATATAGAATGCTAACCCCTTTAAGCCCCTTGCAATCTGACTTTCAATTTCATCACTCAACTGAACATGCTCTCTCCAAAGTTACCAATGTCCTCTTAACTGCCTAACCCAATGATCTTTCTTCAGTCTTCATTTCTCTTGACCTCTCTGCAGCATTTGATAGTGCTTATCATCCTTTCCTCTTGGGTACTAACTCCTATCTGGATTTTGTGACAGTACTTTCCTAATTCCCCAGGAATTACTTCTTCAAGAATATTACTTTGGCAACTGTCTGGAGGATGGCGATGGAAGAGATTTGAGGCAGGAAAATTAATTACAGGAAGGTATTACAAAAGACCAGGAGAACAACAGTAGTCCAAGCTCTGATCTGAGATAGGCAAGTAGCAACAGAGAGAAGGATGTTTTTATACATAGGCATTTATCTCATAAAGAAGAACTGACCTAGAAAACACAATCCAAGACTCACCAGATACCTGTAAGTCAAGACCAAAAAAAAAAAAAAAGACTGGACACAATATTTCAAGATATCATAAATGAAAACTGACCAGACCTATTAGTAATAGAGTGCACAGTAAAAGTAGAAAGATTCTATTGATCATCTTCTGAAAAATAAACCCTAAAATGAAAACTACCAGGAACATCACAGCAAAAATTTGGGGCTTTCAAGTTAAAATTTTAAAATACTTTAAATAGCTGGAAAGAAAGAGTTAAAATAGCAAAGAACTAGTTAGGCTAACAGAAGACTGGGCAGCTAGTATTGCAAAGGAGAGAAGATTTTGAAATATAGTATTTCAAAATACAAAAGATAAAGGCATACAACCAAAAATTACTCACCTGGAAAAACTGAGTATAATTCTAAAGGGAAAAGAATTCCAAGCATTCTTGCTGAAAAGAGCAGAGCTGAGCAGAAACTCCGAAATTCAAACATAAGAGCCAAATGAAACTAAGAAAGGTATAAAAAGCTGGAAAAGATTGTATGATGGGAAGTGTTTACTTTCTAAAGGGGAAAAAGAAATGTCCCCTCAGAATCCTAATTCTTCAAGGGAATTAAATAAGACAAAGAAAGGGCTGAGGGAAGTTTTGCCTTGTTTTTATGATCTTAAGTAAAGCAAGAAAGGGGAAGAAAACGAATACATTTGGGAACAAAGTAGGAGAAAGGGAATAAAAAATTATCCTTCCACAGGTCCCCTATGGAAACCTTGTTACGACTTTTACTTCCTCTATATGTGTTAAGTTGGACCATGTTCTCAACACTCTGCCAGGGCCATGGGCCAAATCATCAGGGCCAACCTGAGCATTTCACTAAATCAATCAATCAGTAGATGGGCAATGTGTACCAGGGCAGGGACTTAATCAACGCAAGCTTATGACCCACATTTGAAAGGAATTTCTTGTTCATGGGGAATAATTGCAATCCCCAATCCCCATCAGGAATGGGGTTCAGTGGGTTACCTGTGCCTGCCTGTGTAGGGGAGACATACACTGAGACAGTCAGTGTAGCGCGTGCACAGCCCCGGACATCTAAGGGCATCACAGACCTGTTATTGCTCAATCTCGGGTGGCTGAACGCCACTTGTCCCTCTAAGAAGTATAAGCTATGTTCAGGAAAGACTAGTGGCTCTGGCGTGAGGGCTGACAAGCCATTGTCAGGGTTCCTTTCCACCCTTAGTGTCCACCTAATTCACCCAACTCTCACCTCCAAGAAGCTGTAGCACGGGCACTGGCCACATCCCAGTAAACCTTTTCAGCAGACAGGCTAAACCAGGTTGAGGATAACTGAGGGTTCTCAAACTCTTCAGTGAGGAAGAGGGGTATATACACCAAGCATGTGAAGACCTGTCCCAAAGAATTGGTGGATGAGAACAATTTGTTCCAACAGTCATGAAGGCAACTGAAGCAGGTGGTGCGGAGTGCTGAGAGTATGGTTAGACATGAAAGATGCCAATGTCAGCCACTTCATCCTGAGCCATCACCAATCATCTTGACTTTGTCTTGCCACTAGACTCATTACTCTGGAACAGTATGGCGGACAACTTCACACAACTCTGCCTTCTTTAAATCCAATTTATGCACAAATCAAAAGACAATCACCCATACTACTTTATCATTTTTACCTACCTCAAATTCCTATGGCAACAGACAAGTGACGATGCAGCAGATGCAGACACACTGGGAGCTGCAGTCACAACCCTGCACATAGGTGGCCCAGGTCATAAGGTTATCTTTTCACTGGACTGAAGCAGCAGTGGGACTCGGCAGCATCCTGGATGTCTGAGCAGCCTTGAACGACAGCACGGCTCACCTCTTAGCATGAGGAAGAGGTTAGAAAAGGTGCCCTAAAAATTGTCTACTTCACTCAACCCTGGCCTGCTTACCATGACAAGCAAGCATCTCACCCTGATGTCAAAATGCAAAAAAAATTACAAAAACTTTTGCAAAGATGATTCCACTCACCATAGGTACATGGAATGTGAGCACAACACAAAATCCAGTAGACCCGAAGAACAGTTCTTGTTGCAACAGAACTCAGCAGATGTCGCACCCAAATAGCAGCCCTGACTGAAACAAGGTTGGCAAATGAAGGCCAGCTTATGGGAGTCAGAGCTGGATACACATTTTTCTGGAGTGGCTGCAGTGAAAGGGAGCAAAAGGGAGCACTGTGAAGTTGTCATAGGTTTTGTTATCAAAACCAGCCAACAGGCTGATAAGCCCACCAAAAGGAGTAAACAACAGGCTCATGAGAATATGATTGCCACTTGCAGAAAAGTACCATGCCACCATCATTAGTATGTATGCTCCCACCATGATGAACCCTGATGAGAACAAAGAAAAATTTTATGAAGATCTGGAAACCATCATCATCAATGTGCCAAAAGAGGACAAGCTTATAATTCTGGGTGACTTTAATGCAAGAGCAGACACAGACCACCAGACATGGCAGGGAGTTCTTGGGAGGAATGTAATCAGAAACAGAAATGGCACAGGTCACTTACTACTAAAGACTCGTATATCTCATGACCTTCTTATCACCAACACTATCTTCTGTTTACCTAAATGCAATAAAACTTCATGGATGCACCCTCACGGCAAACATTGACATTGAATAAACTATGTGATTGTAAGGAGAAGAGGCAGGATGTGAGAGTGATAAAGGCAATGTTTGGACTTATTTTCTCCAAGCTAAACATTCACATTCAACAAAAGTGGCATCCTCAAGGCAAGAAGACTATCAGAAAACTTAAGGTCAACAGAATAGAGTGCTTTTTTTTTTAGAGTGTTTCTTAGTGGGTGAACAGTTTGTTGCTAACTTGGAGGGAAAGCTAAGCCAACATACAGTTGGCAACAGTGGAGCAGAAAAGGAATGACAACTTTGAGAGATTTGGTGTATGGCATTGCATTTACTCATCTGGGCCAGAACACTCACAAACATCGACTGGTTTGACAAAAATGATGGAGAACTTCAGAAGCTGCAAAATGAAAAAATGAGAACTCCACATGGTTTACCAACAGGATAGTTGATCTCTAAAAAGGCAGTGTTTAACTCCATCACAAATAAAGTGTAACCAAAGATTAGAGAGACACAGAATTCTTGATTCGAAAGGCAGATGAAATTCAGTTTTACACTGATAGTAAAAATCCAAAGCATTTTTATGATGCCCTAAAGGCTATTTATGGGCCAAAGACCTATGGTGCATCTCAACTACTCAGCGCTGATGGAGCTACACTGATTAGTGATAAGGACATTATCCTGGAGAGTTCTCAACACACCATCAATCAATGCTGAAGCCATTGACTATATTCAGGTTGAAATCAATTACTCTCTAATGAACTTCCAACTGAAGAAGAGGTTTTGAATGTCATTCTCATGTGGCAAAGCACCTGATGTTAATTCTATTCCAGATGCGATTTACAAGACAGGGGGCCCAGTGCTCATACAAAAGCTGACTGAAATTTTCCGGGTTACATGGCAGGAGAAGCTATCCCTTAGGAGTTGAAGAATGCTTCCATTGTCCATCTCTATAAAAGTAAAGAGATTGTCCTGTGACAACCACAGTCTCTCTCTTAGTCACTGCTGGCAAGATTCTTGCCAGAGTTGTCCTTAATATCCTTCACCTAGAAGATGGCCATCTATCTGAGAGCCAGTGTGACTTCAGAGAGGACCAAGGAACAGTTGATGTGGTGTTTGCTGCCTGATGACTCCAACAGAAGTGCCAGGAGCAGAAGAGAGGTCTGTACAACATTCATCAATCTGACTAAGGCCTTTGAAACTATCAGTCTTGACGGTTTATGGAAAATTTGGGTGCCCACAGAAATCATCAGTATTGTACATCAGTTTCACGATCTCATGCTTGCACGGGTTCTAGATAACAAATGATGGTCTCACACTTTCCCAGTCTCTAATGGAATGAAGCAAGGCTGTGTGCTTGCTCCCATACTTTTTAATAGCATTGTTGCCAGCTGCCTTCAAAGAAGATGAAAACAGCAGCAAGGTTAGCTGACACAGTGATGGTAAATTATTTAACTTGAAAATGTTACAAGCAAAACTAAAGGAGAGAGTCAGTACATGATTTTCAAATTTTTATTTATTTATTTTTAGTTTTCAACATTCACTTCCAATAAGATTTTGAGTTCCAAATTTTCTCCCCATGTCTCCCTTCCCCACCCCCTAAGATGGCATGCAATTTGATATAGGCTTTACATATACATCCACATTGAACCTATTTTCACATTAGTCATGTTGTAAAGAAGAATCAGAACTAATGGGAGAAAGCCTGAGAAAGAAGAAACTAACAAAAGAAAAAAGAAAATGAGAGAGCAAATAATATGTTTTGATCTGCACTCAGACTCCATAGTTCTTTTTCTAGACTTGGACAGCATTTTCCATCATGAGTCTTTGGAGTTGTCTTGGATCCTTGCATTGCTAAGAAGAGATAAGTCTATCAAAGTTAGTCATCACACATTGTGGCTGTTACTGTGTACAATGTTCTCTTGGTTCAGCTCATTTCACTTAACATCAGTTCAAGTCTTACCAGGTTTTTCTGAAGTCTGACTGCTCATCATTTCTTATAGCACAATAGTATTCCATTACATTCATGTACCACAACTTGTTCAGCCATTGCCCAACTGATGGGCATCCCCTCAATTTCCAATTCTTTGCCACCATAAAAAAGAGCCGCTATAAATATTTTTCTACATGTGACTCCTTTTCCCATTTGTATGATCTCTTTGGGAGTGCATGATTTTTGTTCACAGATGACTGTACATTCAATGCAGCCTCTGAGTTGAGATATAACAAAGTATGGATTGATTCTCTGCTACTTATGCTAATTTTGGCCTAACAATTAACACCAAGAAAACACAGCTTCTCCACTAGCTAGCACTACACTATCCATATATGGAACCACTGGTTTCAGCAAATGGAGAAATATTAAATGCTGTGGATAAGTTCACTTACCTTGGCAGTACACTTTCCAGGGATATACACACAGGAAATGAGGTTGACTCAAACATTGCAGGAACTAGCTCAGTCTTTGGGAGGCTCCAAAGGAAAGTGTGGGAGAGGCTGCCTACCAAACTGAAGGACTACAGAGTTGTTGTGCTGACTTCATTGTTGTATGCCTGTGAAACCTGGATAGTCGATCAATGCCATGCCAGAAAACAGAATTGCTTTCATTTGAATTGTCTTAGGAAAATTTTGAAGATCATCCGGTGGGAAAAAGTACCAGACACTGAGGTCCTTTCTCAGGCTGAACTGCCAAGCATTCAAACTCTACTGCAGAGAGCACAACTCTAATGAGTTGTTCAAATGACAAATGTATGTTTCCCTGAAAAACTATTTTATGGATAACTTGCACAAAACAAGTGCTCACGTGGAGGTCTGAAGAAGCAATACAAGGACACTCTCAAGGTTTCTCTGAAGAATTTTAGAATTTTGTGATATGGTACACACTGTCAAAGGACTGTCCAGCATCAAAGCAGGTCCTGTGCTCTATGAGTGAAGCAGAATTGCAGTAGCTTAAAAGAAACATAAAAGGTGCAAATTTAGAGATATCGCCACTCCAAATGTTCATGTGGACTATTTGTGCCCGACCTATGGTAGAGCCTTCTGAGCTCATATTGGATGGATCAACCACAGGTGGACACACTATACCTTGCCTCCAATATAGTGATGTTATTTTGGTCTTCTTTGAGAATGACAGACAACAACCAACCAAGGAGAAAGGGAATAGAACATACTAGTTCACATGATTGGGGCACATAAGCCAAAGACTATATAAACTGGAAGGAGCAGAAGTAAACATCACATGAATTAAACATACAGTTTAGTGTATAAAAATATTAAATTCCACAAGAAAACAGGCAGGAACTGAAAGAAGAGAAGGGGGGATTGGGAAGCAGGATGAAATGGAGGAAGGATTAATCATAAGCAAAGCAAATTCAATTAGGTAGAGTAGACCGCGAAAGGGAAATTAAAAAGAAAGAGTAAAATCCTGTAATTAAGGTCTGGACAAGAACAGAAGCAGTGGAGAAGAAGCAGATCCTTTACTAGTGTTGAGCACATTCTTTTTCTCTTACCACCTTCTTTGTAAAGAGGGATGGTGGCATACGGGGGAGTGGAGAAAAAGGTGTAAGAGGATAAGATGGAGGAAAATATACAATTAATAGTCATAATCATGAACCAACTCAGTTATAAAAAAAGAATAAAATAGAATGGATTAGAAAACAGAATCAACAATATGCTGTGTACAAGATATACACAAAATAGAAATAAGGGGCTAGAGCAAAATCTATTTATTATGTTTCAGATGATCTCTTTAAAAAAAAAAGGCAGAGATAGCAATCATGATTGCATCCAATACAGCAGTAAAATAGAAATGATTAGAGAAGATAAACAGGAAAACTATATTATACTTGCAGGTACCATAGACAACAAATCAATACCAGTACTCAATATAAAGTCTCTGAATGACATAGCATCTAAATACTTAAAGGAATAATTATCAATTTAAAGGGAGAAATGGAGAGTAAAGACTATTATAGTAGGAGACCTCAACATACCTATTTCAAACTTGGGCAAATTTAATAAAAAGATAAACCAGAAAGAAGAACCTGAATAGAATTTTCTTTAAGTTGGATATGGTAGAGCTCTGGTAATTACTGAGTTGGAATAGAAAGGAGTATATAGGAGCAGCTAGGTATCACAGTGGATAGAGCACTGGCACTGGAGTCAGGAGGACCTGAGTTCAAATCCGGCCTCAGACACATAACATTTACTAGCTGTGTGACCCTGGGCAAGTCACTTAACCCCACTGCCTAGCCCCCCCCCCACCAAAAAAAGGAGTATTACATGTATCCTAGCTGTGCAAGAAAGCTTTATAAAAATTGACCAATTATTAGGGCCTGAAAACATCACAAACAAATGTAGAAAAGTATATATATTGAACACATCCTTTACTGAACACAACACAATTGTTGTTGTTCGTCCTTTGTTCTTGAAAAGGACCAATGAAATCATAAGGGTGATGTCTTCACTTACTTGTGAATTGGATTTAAGTGAGGCAGAGATGCATAGTCATCAGACTCATCCACAGTCTTCAGAATCCAGTGGCAAGATAAAAGTCAAGGTGACTGATAATGGCCCACTATATTATATTCGATAAAAAGTCTTTTAAGAAAGGATTGAAACAATTGGAGACTAATAAATAATTTAATCTTTAAGAATTAGTGGTTCAAAGTAAAAATCATAGAATACCTAATTTGGTCAAATTAAATAACAACAATAAGACAACATACCAAAACTTTTGGGATATAGCCAAGGCAGTCCTAGGGAGAAATTTATTTTAATGAATACTGTCATCAACAAAAAAGAAAAAGGATAGATCAATGAATTAGGGATGCAGCTAAAGCAACTAGAAAAGCAACACCTCAAAAATCCAACTAAATACTAAAGCAGAAATTTTGGAAACCAAAGAAAAGATGAATAAAACTGAAAACAAAAACACCATTTAGTTTATAAATAAAATTAAGAGCTGTTTTTTTTTCTGGGGTGGGGGAGAGGCCTAATCTGATTTTTCTTAAGGGAGTCTAGCTTTGAAAGGAAGGAGAGATATAGAATGATACATTGAGATTACAGGATCTTATGAGGGATTTTTAAGGGTGAGATGACATTTTACACAGCACTTTAAAGTTTATAAAACATTTTTCTCATAACAATTCTCTGCAGTAAGTAGGGCAAATATTATTATTCCCATTTTACGGATAATAACAATATACATGTATAAAGTACTATAGTAAGTGGCAAGTTAGATGCTTATCTGGTTAATTCAATGTAGACTGCCAATAGAATTAAAGTCAATCTAAATTCTTTTTTAAAATAAAATTTTTTGGACTTGAATTATTAATGATAATCGCCTCAACTCTCTGCTTCCTTTTTTCTGTGGAGACATAATTATAATTGTTATACTAATGTGGGATCCCCAAATTAATCATTCATGCTATAAGAAAAACAAATTACCCAGATTTAGTAATTATCAGTAATATATATACATTGTGAGAAAAAGAGATAAATGAAGCAAATATTTCAGTAGTATACTTTATGCCTTATAGAATTTTCTCTATTCTTTCTTCAGATTTACCTTATTTTCATGTAATAATACAGTTGGATCATTAGTGTCTTTTTAATCCTAGAGAAAATTCTGTGATCCTATTTTTCTCTACACAATATTTTAACCAGCCTGAGTATAACTGGAAGAAATATTATAGCTATTTCCACGTAAAGCTGATCACTGTGGAAATGGCTACTATGTATGTATATATATATATATATATATATATATATATATATATATATATATTATACATATATATATATATACATATATATATATACACACACACACGTATATATGTATGTATGTATATATATATACATACATATACATATGTATATATGTATGTATGTGTGTGTGTATATATATATATATATCTCCACACATAGATATAGATAGATTTCAGTGTCTAGTTTTGTTAGTGAACTGGTTTAGTGTGACTTGCTTTTTAGATTTTTTAATATATTGAATTAAAATATAAAACACAAAAATAGTAGAGTAATAGCTTCTCATTGTTTTTCGATTTAGATTACAAGAAGAGAAAATGCATTTTCAGCTGGATTTGACAGTTCAACTCTTGCTTACACAAGGACAAGTGGAACTGGAAAATTTCCAATTTCTATTCAATTTCACAGACTCCATTCTCATTAACAGGGTTATAGTTGAAGATATAAATAGTATAATCCGGGTAATTATGAATTTTCAGAAAGAAAAACACAATAACTGCTATGCAAAATAAGTATAAAGTATGTTTTCCTTGCTCAATACCCACCCATTTTTCCTACTTTTAAAAATCTTCTTTGATATCTTGTTTGTATATCATCCCTGTTTTCATATTATTTCCTTCCCCTGACCTAGTGAAGGATCTTTTGTAACAAAGAATAAGAAAAGGAAAAGGAAATAAGAGCAGTTTACTACCTAGACATCAACCAAATTTAACAAGTATATGCAGTATTCTTTAGCTCTGTAAAGAGGAGGTACTTTTTTTTCAATTCTTTTCATTCTTGGTCATCATAATTACACAACATTCAGTTTCACTTCTGTGTTCCTTCCATGAAGATTGTTGCAGCCATTGTGTATACAGTTTTTCTGTTCTAATTAATTGATTCCACATTAGTTCATATAGGTCTTCCCATGTTTCTCTGAATTCTTCATACTTATTTCCTACAGAGTAATAACATTATTCTCATTTACCACAATTTGTTTAGCCAATTGATAGGCATCTATTTTGTTTCCAATTCTTTGCTAGCACAAAACAGACTACTATATTTGATTGTATATGGGGCCTTTCTTTCTATCGTTGACCTCTTTGAGGTCTCAGAGTCAAAAGGTATGGATATTTCAATTACTTTTTTAAAAAAATTCCAAATTATTTTCTAGAATGGTTAGACCAATTCATAGCTCTACCAACAGCATATTAGCCTGCCTTTCTTCTGCTAGACTGTAGAATGTAAGGAGGGGAGTAATGTGTAGGAAGACTGCAAAGGTAAAAAGCTACGATGTAAAGAGTTCTAAAGAAAATATTTTGTATATTTTATCTCAGAGGTAATAGAAAGCCACTTGAGTTTATTGAGTAGGGAGGTGACATGGTCAGATCTATATTTTAGGAAAATCATTTTGACAGGTGCTTTACTCAGCGTTCCCTAAATTCTGGGGTTCTTGCCCCTGATCTTGAGTTTGAACAGCCTTCTGGGAGAGGAAGAAGACATCATGTAGGCAACTGAAAAGAACCTACTTCATGAGTGGCTGAGGAGAAGCCATTGTAGTATGACTGCTACTATGAAGCAATAAGAGTTGATGGAGGCTCATCTGAGTATACTCTTGAGGTGATAGCTATTTCTCTGCTACCAGCAACTATAATATGGCTTCGCTCTCAGACCACTGTAAGAGTTTCTCTTCCAAAAGCACATTCAACTTCAAGAACCCAAGAGTCTAGGGAATGGTAAGTAAACTTCCCTATGTTCAAGTAACAACATGTCTCTCAATATTTTCCAGACAACACTGTTATGCACAGGGCCAAAATGCAGGTTATATCTATTTGACCCTAGAGTGAATAGGAACTTCTGGAGTTTAAGTAAAGGAGTGATACTGTCAGAAGTGAACTTGAGAAAAACCATTTTGATAGTTGTATGGGGGCATGGATTAGAATGGGGAGAAACTTAAGGCAGGGAGAACAATTTAGGAGACTACTGTAATAATCTAAGTAAGAGGTAATGAAGTCCTGACCTAGAGTGATGGTTATGTGAATGGAGAGAAGGAAGCATATATGAGAAATGTTTTAGAGATAGAAATTACAAGGCTTTGCAACTGATCTGATATGTGGTATAAGTGAGGGTGAATAATTAAGAAGTAATCAGCAAGTGTTTATTAAGTACTTAATACATACCAGGCACTGTGCTAGGAGCTGGAGATAGAATGAAAAAAATCCCCACTGACAATGAGCTTATATTCCAATGGGGGAAGATATAAATGTACATAAAAATATATATAACACAAATATAAAGTTAATAAATACAAAATCCACTAAGTACTTAAATACAAGGTAGTTTGGAAGAGAGAGAACTAAGAATTGGAGACGATCAGGAAAGGCTGACCTGATGGCTGCAAATTTAAGCAACTTGCCTTTAACAGTCACAGGGAAGCTGGAAGAGAAGCTGAGGGGGGAGATAAAAATTCTATTTTGGATATGTTGAATTTGAGATGCCTCTAGGACATCTATCCTTTCCCTACGTTCTAATGTAAAACTGAAGTCAGAGTATTCGAATATATGCTAATTCAATTTAGAAGTTCTTAATTTGGATTTCTTTCTGAATTTCTACCCTTCTTTATCTTCTGAAACATATTGACATATAGGCTAAAATTAACTTCATACTGGTCATTTTTATTATAAGCACTCTAATACAACATGACCAAATATACCCTGAAATGTTTCTTTGGACACATAATTAAGCCAATTCTGTGAACTTCTTCATTTTCTCTTCAAGAATAACTTGTGATCTATCCCTTCTACTTAGCTACAATTTCCTTATCTTCTGGTTTCATTTATAGTGAGACTTCTGACTGACATAATTCAACATACTGTTCAATTGCTGATCACTTGTCAGGGATCTCACATTTAGGGAACCAACAGCTAAGCTAATGATCTTTTTCCTCCCCACCACTCTGTCAAAAGCAGGAACAGCATTGAGAATCATTTTGTAATTTTCTTTCTTTAATGGATCACCATGACTAAGAAATTAGTTAACCTTTTGATGACAAATTTCCCTATATTTAGCCAAGCTGTTCCCCCCAAAAGGAGTCAGAATCAGTTGCTGGGGAAAATATTTGAACACTTTCCAGAATAGTAGAGCTTCTCAGAGCTCATGCTCTATTGACATATCCTTCAAGTATTTATGGTTACCTATTCGCCTCAATGAGGCATCTGGGTAAAGTTGTTCTTAATCTGAGCATTTAGCATAGGAAGTTGAATGACCACTGGTGACCCAGGAGATGTACTTTAAAGGTGCATAAGAGAGGAAAAACAGGACCATCTCAATTTCACTTTTCCACCAGGCTGAAACTCTATTTTTGTCCCTAACAATTAAATTTGTTTACCAAAAAATTGGCATGCTTTCAATTGCACTAATCTTTTCTCTGATCTTAGTTTTTTTCTGTATTTTCTGTTGATTTGTTCCTCTTCTAAATTCTTTTGATATAGCTTCAGTTTATTCATTTTTTTCTCTTTCCATTTTAGGTACAATGAATTTGCCTCTGAATACTTGTTTGAATGAATCTCATAGATTTTGAAATATAGCATCATCTATTATCATTATTTTTATGTAAATTTTGTAATTTTTTCTTTCTATCCACTGTCATCCCACATCCATAGTCACTTTTCAGTTCCCTTATACCTCTTTTTCATCAAATCATTACTTACTATTACTTTTATTTCAACGATCCACAGTGTGAGACAGTAATTAGAAAGTTAGCCTTGGAGCCAAGAAGACCTGTATTTCAAATTTTCCCTCTGACACATACTGACTGTATGACATCGAGCAAATGATTTAATGTCTTAGAGTCCTAGGCAATTTTCTACAACTATAAGTTTCAGAGAGGGTGCTGACCTGTATACAGAGTTTCCTCATGCAGAAGCTCCCTATATCAGTGAAATCACAGGTCCAGTTCCAACTCTTTGTTACAATATGATTTGCATATTTAGTGAACAGAATTTCTGCCTTTCCATGTCTCTCCATGTTTTCTTGAATTTTTGTGTAACATAGGTACTTAGGGAGCAAAAAGGCATAGTCTTTCCTTCCCACTAAGTTCCTTCTGCAAATCTGTTATATCTACCTTGTTTAATACTTTAGTTATGTAATTTTGTTATATATATTATACAGTGATAATAGGATGCTAGAATTATTCTCAATTTCTTAAAGTCAATTTTTCTTCCATGACTATGGTTTTCTTTTACAAATTTTGCTGCAGAAGTATTGTACATATACTTAAGGCTGATATATTCTCATTTGGCATAGACCAATTTAGTAATAAAATATCTGTGTTAATCTTCTTTAACACTTTCTGGTTCGAATTAAATTTTGGCCAATATCATTAATATCTCTCCTACTTTCTGTAGTTTGGCAATAGCATGGTAATTTTAGAACACACTTTCATTTTGACCATATTTAAGTCTTAATTTTAATTAAATTTTTCTCTATTTTCCTTTTTTAATGTTTACTCTTAGAGTCTACTTTTTATTTAGTGACTTTTGCATTTTATTGGTAGGTTCAATTCATTTGCATTTAGAATTGTAATTGTTAGGCCTGTTCTTCAGTCATTCTTTTGGAGGATAAAATGCTTCTTCTTATGGTATTTATTATTAACCCCAACTTAATAAAGCCACTCTAAGTAAATTTCTTCTTATGTTATTAACTATTTTATTGTTAAGTCTTTTCAGTCGTGTCCAACTCTTTTGTGACCCCATTTGAGGTCTTGGCAAAGATACGGAATGGTTTGCCATTTCCTCCTCCAGCTCATTTTACAGATGAGGAAACTGAAGCAAACAGGTTTAAAATAAATGACTTGCCCAGGGTCACACAATTAGTAAGTGTCTGAGGCCAGATATAAAGTCAGGAAGATGAGTCTTCCTGACTTCAGTCCCTGTATTCTATCCATTGAGCCACTCCCTTTATCAAAGAATAGGAGCTTTGGTTTGAAATTATGTTCTCTTTCTTCTCCTTTTAAAAAACTTCTAGTGATTTAGCTCCCCATTTCTAAAAAATGAAAAATGCTTGAGAATTCTCATGCTTTTAACAACTATTTGATATCAATTATTTTAACTACTTCTCTTTTTGGCTGGGATGCTTGTTTGTTCTATGAAGACTTCCTTGAAATAGGTATGTCTCTCTGTAAATCTGCAAAGTCTTGTTTGTTTCTCAAGTATCTTCTCTTCTGCCATGATAAATCAAGCCTAATTTTTCTGAGCACATCATTCTGGGTCCACAGGCTATGTTTCTTTGTAAATTCCATATTCCAATTTCTTCAGTACTCCTTGAAAAGTCTTCTATATGATCCTAACTGTTGTTCCTTGTTAAGTGATATTTAAACTACTTTTAGCAATTCATATTATTTTCCCCCTTATTATAATGTTAGATAATCATAAAGTAACTAGGACAGTTGAATCTTGAGTCCTTCCTTTTCAGCATCCTGTGGCTACTGTTTATATTTTGCTGCCTATTTTCTTAATTCTAGAATTTTTTTCTTTAATATTTCATAAATTATTCTATCCAAGTTCTTTTGTTTTTCTCTTTCTCTTAGATGTAGCTAATCCAAAGACTGCTATGTCAAGATCTGTCTTCCAGATCTTTGATTCTGTGGTTTTCCAATAACTTAGACAATTTGGTGATTTTTAAAAGTTATTCTGCTTTGGGTATAATTTAGTTTTCTGCTATAGGAAATCTGTTCATTGCTTCTGTGGACTTCCTTAGGTTTTCTATTGTATTTTTCTTATATTTTTCTTGGTCATGTTCTTAACATCTTTTAATCTTGCTTGAATTCCATGTGTATTTTTTTTTACTTCCTATAACATCTTTTATTTGAGGTTATGTTTTTAAAATAATACTGATTCTTGCATTTCTTTGAATATGACATTTGCTAAATGGAGGACTTCTCTCAGGATATCTTACATGATTTCTTTTTTTTTTCCATTGCTTCTGATACTTTAGCTTATTCATCTGTTCCAGTATATTATTAATTATATCAGCATTCTTTGATCTGCTCGTTTTAAAATTTTGAGTTTTTTTATTGTGTTTTTTAAAGTCATGTTTTTCTTCTCCATAGAATTTCTGCTAGGTTTTTTTTTTTGAGGGGGGTGTCTTTTTTTGTGGCATACGTGAGAAGCCTGGCTCCCTCTTCAATTCTTTCACTCTACCTTCCCTCAACTTGTTTTATATATGTGCCCCTCTGGGTCAGCTTATTTGGGATGATATAAAGATATGGTATGCCCTTATGCTTTCAGGAAAGCTAGGACTATTCCAAGCCATTAAGATGCATGCTTTCTTTCCTCAAATTATTCTTTCTGTCACTCAACTAAAGGCAAGGTTTCATGTACTTTCAGGAAAACTGAATTTAATCTTATATGAGAATTTTTTTCTAAATATACAATGACAACAATTATAGGACTAGTATCTATGGCTGGAGGTGGAGTTGGTAGAACCATCAAAAAAGTGTTCTATTTCTTTCTGGAAGGTCTTCACTACTTCTCATGAAAGCTATTCAAGAATTCCCTCCCTAGTCCTACTTGCCCTCCCTCTAACTTACCTTCTATTTGCCATTCCTTTTCCTCTATCTTTTTTTCTCAGGTTGGGGTATAAGAAAGGATAAGACCATATCCTAAGCTGACCTAGAAAGGAATAGTTTTTGATGTACGATCCTGATTAGAGAAACTAAGATACTGTGAATAATGTGAACTCTCAGGGAAAATTTTCGTATTTTGTATTTCATTTTTTCTATTCCAAGTCCAACAGGGGTGTGCTGTATGACTGAAAGCAATAGTACAAGTGTACTACAATACTGTTTCTGAGGGGATCTGTTTTTGTAATGATTACTGCATTGTAATATTGGTGAGGGTTTTTTTGCAAAATGTTACATTTTTAAAGTTCCACAACATTTTAACAATAGTAAAATCATTTCTATGATCTGCAGAAATGTGTAAGCTAAATATTGGAATATGTTTTTGGTTGTTTTTTTTACAAGTCCCAAGGTCAAAAGAAAGTTACCAGTATGGTAGAAAGTAAGGATTTCCACAAAGGAATATATCAGATTGAATGGGAACATAAGAAAATGCAGATGGAAATGGAAGATTTAAACCAAAAGGCTTGGGATATTCAGATGCTGTTTCTTTCAAGAGATCGTCAAAAGGTAATTACTCTTTTTCATATGTAGTATTTTTCACCATCCACATGGATCCAGTAGCATTTTACAAAAAAATCTTCTGATTATATAATTTCATTCTACAAATCCCTGGACTATAGGATACAGATGATAATGTAAATGATTTAATGTAAACTATTATCACTATACACACATCTTAACACCTAAAGTAGGTAGAAATATGTCATGGCAAATTATCTTTGAATTCAAATGACATTGACACATATCAATAAGCATTAAGTGCCTACTATGTGCCAGGCACAGGTAGGTCCCAAAGATACAAAGAGGAAATCAAACAATCTCTGCCCGCAAAGGACTCACATTCAGGAGAATCAGGATATAAATACACAGAGCTATACAAAATATATGCCAAACAGATACAATTTGACGGCACCAATAGCTAAGGAGATCAGAAAGGTCTCATATAGAAGAGGACACTTGGGCAGGATCTTGAGGGAAACTAAGGATTCTAAAAGACTGAAGTGAGGAGGAAGTGCATTCTAGCCATGGTAGGACAAGCCAGTGCAATGACTTAGAGAGAGGAAAAATAGTACTATACATGAGGAACAAGAAGGAGGTTAGGTTGAATGTGCCAGAAGGAATGTAAAAAAGAGTACTGCATAAGGAAGTTAGAAAAGTAAACAGAGGTAGGTAGGTTATGAAAGAATGTAAATGCCATAGACAATTTATAATTTATCCTAAGGTAATAGGGAGACATTGGGAGTTTACTGAAAAGAGAAATGACATGGTCAGACCTGAACTTTAGGAAAATTACTCTGGCAGCTCTATGGAAGATAAAAAATAGAACTGGGAAAGACTGGAGGCAGAGACATCATGGATAAGAAGCCAATAAAGTAAGCAGGAGGAGATCTAGGAGATAACAATGTCAACAAAATGTCAGAGAGAAGATTAGATCTGGGAGGAAAGGGTAGTCAACACTGCCAAAGACTGCACAAAGGTTACGAAGGATAAGGATTCCAAAAAAGTCATCAGATTTGCTAATTAAGAGTCCAGTGGTAACTCTGGAGCCAAAAGTCTCAGTTAAGTGATAAAATCAGAAGCTATATTGATATTGCAAGTGGTTGAGAAAGGAAAGGAAAGGAAATGGAGGTACCCACTGTAGATAGCTTCTTCTAGGAGTTTGGTTAAGAAAAGGAGAGACAAAGGATAGTAACTAGAGAGGGTGCTAATAAATCTTTTTTAAGCATGAGGAAGCCTTGGGCATGTTTTTAGGTAGCAGAAAATGAACCAGTAAAAAGGGGGAAAGGAAGAAGGATGATTGTAGGGGCTGTGTGAGGGAGAAGAAAAGAAAGGGCAGGATCAATGAAACAAATGTAAGTATTGTCCTTGGCAAAGAGAAGTGACATCTCACCACCAGACACTGGAATAAAGAAGGAGAGAATGAGAATAATGCCAAGGGCTTATAAAATGCAAAGCAAAAAAAAAAAAAGGAGAGATAACTGGCCTCTATTTTCTCAGTAGATAATGAGTTAAGGTTCTCAGCTGAGAATATTGCAATAGAATAGAATATTCTAATAGAATATTGCAGAGGTAAGAGAAGGTATAGCCATTTTGGGGAACTGGGTAGAGAATCAATTAAGGAGAAGTAAAAGGGCTTCCTTGATGCAATGAGACCAAGCTGAAATTAGATAACACAAATTTGTATTGGACTTGGTTCAGTTTAGATGTGTGACTTTCTCCAGCTCTATTCAGCAACATGAGATTGATTAGGAGTAAAAAGGAAGATGTTGGGAGTAATACAAGATTGGGGTTTGGCAAAGCATGAGTAGCAATAGGACAAGGGAGATAAGAATTTGAGAGCAGAAGAGAGAGAAGGGTTAAGCTGATTAACTAAAGAGTGTATATTGGGAAGAGAATAAATTAAAAATAGAGCAGGGGTGATGACTTGGAAAAGTACTGACCTGTGAAGGGATTAGAGATCATAATGAGGACAAAGAATAGGTTTAGGAAGAGAGTAAGGCATAGAAAAAGACTGAATGATAAAAATTTATAATATACTAATTGCATAAATAACAAACTATTAACTAGTTAAGTTAATGACTTAGCAATGATATATATAAGTAAAATAAGTGAAACACTAGTGACTTTTTTACAAGTCAAAAAAAAAACAAAATAATACGAGGCTTTCATGTATATTGATCTCATCTTCCTTCCCACTAGTTTCTAAACGAACCAAACTATGAGCTCCTGATTGGCTACCAAATTGCTATGATGGAACAGAATATGATTACTATAGATAAGGTAAGAATCAACCTTGTTAATCATTACGTTACAGTTTCAGAGCATTGTCTTATTAGTCTTAGAGAATTGTCTATGGTGCTAAGGATTTTAACTTGCCCAGGGTAACATAATATGTGTCAGAGGTAGGACTTGTCCCCAACCAGGTCTTGACTCTGAGTCCGACTCTCTGTCTACTATTCCACAATGCAACTCTCTAAGATTGTAAGTGGTGGGGAAATGCCAACCTGCATCAGTAGCAGGAGTTTCTTTATAAGGGAGTTCCCTATGTCAATGAAACCACAGGTTCATAACTTCTATCTCAGATCCACCTAATATCATAAGTTCTAAAACGTTTCAGGTAAGTTTCAGGGTAAAATTGATGGTTTTAATTAGCTGAAATTTCAATTCACGTCAGCAAATATTTATTAAAAACTTCGTGCATAAAGTTCTGTCTTAGGTGCCAGGGAGACAAGAATGGGGGAAAAAACCCAAACTCCTTCAAGGAGATTTTGTACTCCACTGGGAATAAGGTGGGAGTAGGCAATAGAATATATATACAGAAAATAACAAGGTAATTTGAAGAGAAAGTGCCAACAACTACAAGGAGAGTAAGACTTCATGGAAGAAGAAACAATTAAATGGAGTCTTGAATAGAAGTAAGAATTCAGAGAGGAGATTTAAAAAAAAAAAAGGGAATGCATTCTAGGCATGGAAGATAACTTAAATAAATGGATAGATGCAAGAGATGGAATATCAATTTTGTCAAACAGTCCAATTTGGCTAGAATGTAGAGTGTGTGAAAGGAATTAATTTGAAGTAGGGTTGGAAAGATAGGTTAGCACCAGGTTGTAGAGTTCCATAAATGCCAGATTGAGAAGTTTGTATTTTATCCTAGAAGCAATAAGGAAGTCCTGATGGTTCTTAAGTATGGCAATGATATCATTAGGCCTTCACCGAAGGAAGATTATTTTGACAGCTCTTGTAAAAAGGGGTGGATTGGAGAATACAGGATTAGAAACAGGACCCCTCAAGAGATTAATCTGAATGACAGGGAGAATGGCAGCATGTTCCACATAAATAGAGAAGTTTGAACCCATGGGAGCACATAGGAAGACCAAAAGAGAAATGTAGAAAGAGAAGATAAGAGGATCCAGGCCAGAACCTTAGGAGACACCTTAAGAGGCAGTGGGTGGCATGTTATAAGCAGCAGGGAAGAGCCACTATAGATGGGAAAAGGTTGAAGATAAGAGACTTATGCAGGAGGAACAAATGATGGGAAAAACTACTAGAAGTGACAGAAGAAATCAAGGTCACAAAAAGAAGGGTTAATTTTGGCAAGAAGAGCTACATTTTCCTTGAGAAAAGGAGGAAAGGATGGATAAATAAGTAGAGGTGTTTTGAGATACAGATTAAGCCAGAAGGACTTGACAAATAAGGTTGATTTTCTTAGTAACACTGCATTAGGGGCTTTTAAAGCAAGAGAAGGTTTAAAACAAAGTGAAAATGTGATAAAGAATCAATCAGAAGAACGAAAGTGACAACCGTGAGGGCCCGACTGAGAACACTATGAATTTTCAAAAATATTACATAACTTGTACCAGCAGGGTTCAGGATATCAGAAGAACAGCAGAAAAGAAGGTTATTGGGTGGCATATCAGCCTGAACATTGGCAAGGAATTAAGAGCAGAAGGGAATTGCATAATAATAAAGGGCTGAGGGGGTAGAAACCATGCAGAGCTGAGCTGGTTAACTGTAGTAAAGAGTAAGAAAGGACAGCCATAAAGCTAGAGTAGGGTTGATGAAATGGGAGAAGAGATACGAAAAAAAGGAGTAAAGTTCACAGCAAGGATGAAGAACATGTTTGAGAGGAGTTGAGGTAAATGGAGGGATTGAAGAACAGAAGATTATAATCAGAAAAGAATCTTAGAAATCTGCAACCATAATCCATTAACAATCCAAGAAACACAGTAATAGACTATAATCCCCTCAGCAGCTATCTGCAACAAATGGTATAGTATAACATCTTGTAACTATAATTTTTATCTTCAGAGATTAGTAATTGGGTCACACTAGTTTGCTATTTATAAAACACCAATCTGTTATCTGTTTAGTGAAATATTTGTAGTCTTCTATGCATATTGCAAAAAAAAATGCTAAATGTTTTTGATGATTAGTTATAAAATTAAATTTATTACAACAAATTTTTGGCTGATAACAACCATGTCTAACCTTTTTTTCTGCTTCTATAACCATAGTCATACAAAAGGTTTTGGTTGCTGTTAATATCAATGATAATAATTCATACAGCTAGGAACTGTTAATTTTAATAGCATCCTTTTTAATAAAATAGTAAGTTCCAATGCCCTTTTCTCCTCAATATTTTTTTGGGAAATTATATAATTGCCAGGCTCACAAAAGAGAGGTGGAAGCCTTCAAAAAATTATTCAAGCAACTAGGAAAATTTATCACCCAAAGAGATTTAGCAAATTATACTCTAAGTTGTGAACTACAAGAAGAGTTGGTGACCATCAGCGAAAGAAGAAAAATCTGTACATCACTTGGTAAGCCAAATTACCTTTGTACACTTAAAAAGTTGGCAGGAAGCTGCATATCAGAAAGTTTTATTACAACAGTATACAAAGCTCTTAGCATTTAAAATGTTTTCCCTAGTTTAATAGTTTTATTAATCCATTCAAGATAAATTACGTTTTTTCAATACTTTAGACAGTGGTTCCACTAATTTTCTGGGTGGGGGGCATTTGTTTTGTTTTGTTTGTAAATAGGAGCTAAGCTGACTTGTGAAAAGATTGCCGTGGAACGTTATGATGCTATGTTGCAACAACAAAAGCTAGTAGATATTTCAAGAAGTCAAGCTGAACAGATTACAATTTTACAGGCAGAAGTTGAAAGACTAAGAATGAAAACATTTCCTGCACTTGTTCAAATGTAGAAATCCTGATAGAAAACATGAAGACATCACATATTTTAAAGTCTGCTCTCATTTTCTTAAAATTTCTTTTCTCCAGTGACAAAAAAAACTAAATACTCTTAACTTACCAGCCCCTCTTTCTATCCCGTAATTGAAAATCTTTGGGCCTTCCCAAAAAGTTGTAGAATCATAAGTTTTGTCCTGCACAAATAAAAGTGTTATATACCTTGAATGTGTCCTTTTTTAAAAGAGTGAACAATTCCATTCTGTTGTATTAATTTACCGATAGATTTGATTTTTTTTAAAATAAAACATTAAATATACACGAGCCCTCTTCCCTCTCTCTCTGCCGATGACCTCATCAGGTCCCATGGGTCATATCTATGCTGCTGACTTTCAGATCTAAAAATTCAATATTAGTCTCTCTCCTGAGCTCTACACCCACATCACTACCTGCCTACTGGACATTTCTAACTAAACATTTTAGAAATATCAGAAACTCAGCATGTCCAAAACAGAATTTATTATATCCCCCCCAAAAAAAAACAATCCTACCCTTCCTTCTCAACTTTCCTCTTTCTGTTGAAAGCACAACGATCCTTCCAATCACCCAAGTTGGCAACCTCAGTGCATCATCCTTAACTATTCACACTCATTCCACACATTAAAGCAGCTACTAAGTCTTGTCACTTCTCACATAGTCACCACCCTAGTTCAGAATCTCACAATCCCTCTTTTTGATTACTGCAACAGCCTCCCACATGATCTCCCTGTTTTATCCCTCCTCACTCCACTCCATCCTCTCAAAAGCTGACAAAATGATGTTCTTAAAATGCAGGCAGGTCTGTCACTCTCCTACTCAAATTTCAGTGGCTCTCTATTACCTTTAGATCAAGTAAAGATAACCACTTTCTGGTCCTGCACACAAAAGAAAATTTTCAGAAGCCCTGGGAGACCCAGGGAACTACTTGTGGACTAGGTAGTTTACCCAGCATTCCTCAAGTTCTTGAGGTCCTGCCCCTGACCTTGGGCTTGACCAGGGGGTTGAGAGGGAAGCCGTCTGTCAGGCGGCTGTAGAAGTGGTACCACTACTGCCTATCTCCATTCAAGAATCACCAAAGAACTATCATTTCTAATTTTTATAAAGTTCTAGTCAGGTCCTTAACTTATTTTTTAGTTATATTTGTCTAGATATGAAAAAAGAACACTGAGATTTCCCTACTACTAGAGTTTTACTATTTATTTCTCCCTCCAATTCAGTAACTTTTTCCTTTAAATATTTAAGGTGCTATGCTATTTGGTATATACATTAAGTATTGAATTAATTATCCATGGTGCCTTTAAAATTAATGTCATAATTTTCCTATTTGTCTTTTTTTATCATGTCTATTTTTACTAAAACTTCATTTGAAATCATTACTACCCCCATTTTTTTCAATTCAGGGGAAGCATAAGAGATTTTGCTCTAGCCCCTCTTTTTTTATCTCTGTGTGAATCTATAAACAATATATTGTTGGATTCTGTTTCCCAATATATTCTGCTATGCACTTTCATTTTCTGGGTGCATTCCCAGCATTGAGATTCATGGCTATAATTGTCAATTTGTATTTCATTCCATCCTGTCCTCTTGCACTTTTCCCTCCTTTTGCTCCCATGGTAGCTAGATGGCACAGCTGATAAGAGTGCTGGGCCTGGAGTCAAGAAGACCCAAGTTCCAAACTGGCCTCAGACACTTACTAGATGGGTGATCTCAGCAAGGCCACTTAACCCCTATTTGCCTCAGCTTCGTCAACTATAAAATAACAGCACCTACCTCACAGAGGTGTTGTGAGGATTGTGGTGGGTGAGAGATAAAATGACTGAGGAAACAAAGATTCAGGCTTTCAAGCATATCAATTTATTAAGAAATGCATGCCAATTGTTCAACAAACCAGGACCAGGCCCCCTCAGCTTTGGCACTGGCCTTCTAATCTCAAGCTAACTCAAGCCTTGGTATCACCTCACTCAGCCTCCTCTCCCCTTTTGATTGAAGGGCTGGATGGTAGGATACTCTCCCAATGCCTTCCTTTATAGAGGACAAAAATTGCCCTTTTTGCTCACTCCATTCTGCATCTACTGCCCCTACTTGTTTCAACTCTATAGAACAAGATGCCTCCACAGCAGGTACCTCCTGGTGTACCATTCTATGCTCCCTCCCCCTGCTTTCCTATTTCCTTTTCCATGCTATTTCCCTATTTTACACTGTAAGCTCCTTGAGGGCAGGGAGTGTCTTTTTATTAATTGTATTTCAACTCTGTAGAACAAGGCACCTGAGAAGAGGGTTTGTATTTCTCTGCCACAGCTCAAAATATAGGAACGGTGATCTTTTGGCCAGGTTTAGAGTCTACTTATTATGAGCTGGTAAAGCTATATTGGCCTGGACATCTCACAATTGGGAAGATAGTACTGTAGATGTTGTCAGAATAACTTCCCTATAACACAACCTCAAAAGAGCAAGAAACATACCAAATCTATACTAATTAAAATAGCAACAGAAAGAAAAGAAGCAAACACCTACATTAGATAAATTTTTCTGAAATAATCACAAAGAACTGAACTCCCACTCACTTTCAACCACTCTGAGCCTGCCCACAGGCCCATTGCAAATTACCTGTTAAGCCTGAGTTTAATCTAAACTGTCTCATCATGGTAGTGATTCAGTCTGATCTGCCCATATACTGTAACAGGCAAAAAAAACCTTTTTTTTCCTCTGCTACACAAAGTAGTAGCAGGGGTAACTGGAGGAGGGAGAGTAGGTACGAAATAGGAAGAGGGCTGGGAAGATATTGTGAACAGAATCAATTGGAAAGAAAGGGAATTCTGTGCCTGAGGAGAAAGGGCCTACAAATTGAGCTGGAGTTCTCTCCCGGCGAAGTTTATACCTGGCAGGTACTCAATAGAACATTCATGTCACCCCTAAATTATGAAGGCTTAGGCTACCTAGCTCCAAGGTTTGGGTAGTATCACAAGTGAAATTTAACAAAAGGGTAAACTGAGGCAAATCTCCACACAAGATAACATTTATTAACAGGGCATGCTGCCTTCTGCCTCCATTTATGCCAAAGACCCTGAGCCAAAGGACAATTCTCCTTTTACAGAGTTTGGGGAGTACAGAACAAAGAACAGAATAGGGTAGATGACATCTATCCTGGGATTGAGGGCAACATGATTGGTTACAAAACTGAGGCTCAGGGAGCAATATAATTGGTGAGAAGTTTGGTAATAGGGGGCTGCAACAACCCCCCCTTCCATTCTCCTCCATGAGACTAAGAAGTGCTAATTGTTGGAGTCCAGGTGTGAGATAGCAGCCCAGACTTTTGGATAGAAAACCAGACATACTTAAAGGACAGCTTGGTGGAGTAAAGGTAACAGGCCCAACTTCCTTTCTTTCACACATATTCCCCAAGGTTAGCAAAATTCCTTGAGGTAATAAATAAGAGCTAGACTTTTAAACTTAACCCATTACAGGCCAGCTGCACTCTGAACTAAGTTCAGAGACAAAGAACCATGACTTAAGCAGTTATAGGACAAAATCAATTACTTGTAAATAGGATCAAAAAGAAAATGATACAGGATTGATCTTAATCTTCTCAATTCCCCCCTTTGATCAATGAGAGATATGTATGTCTCATAGATCATTTACCTATAATCTGATCTTTAAAGATCCTTAACATAATCATTATCAACAGTAGGACACACTAACACAAATTTTTCTGGTGGAAGTTCAAAACAGGCTTTAACATAGTAACTAAAGAAAGACTGAAAAAGAATAATGACTAATTAATCATAACACAAGCCATAGTAAAAATATCTAAAACCATGTACTAAATTTAGAAGGGAAATTTACACTTCTCAAGGCAGCTAAGAAAATTCAGCAATCACAGATACTTGAGAAGCAAAAAAACAAAGTAATACAATAATGATCATCAACATTAACTAAAATCAAGTCTCCTCCCAGTAACCCACTCCCAGTATCCATTTTACTAGCACATTTCGTCTTGAATCTCAGATGTCTCACATAGTTTGGCCTCATCCCTCAACAGCAGCTCTGAAGTGGCCTCTTCTTTAGAGATTTGCTTCTCTGGTTCCTTATCACTTGTAGAAATTCTTAGATGTTCTCACTAAAATCTTTTATAAAACAGATCTCAATACAATTTAGTACAACCTCTTAAACATTACTTCTCCAATAACTAAGATCAAACCTTGTGGTTCTGATAACATTAAATTAGGAACGCATAGTTCACTTGAAATATCAGAGGTTTTAGTTCTGATACAGGCCTTGATATTTCTATCTTTTTCAACTTTCTTTTATGTTTCTAAACCTTGTACCTGATGTAAACACTGTTAACAACAAACTAAGGGAAGAATCTTTAAAAAAAAAACAACTGTGAGAATCTGACTTGAAAGGACTTGAGTCCTTCTGGTTAAAGATTGAATATTTACCAGAATATATACCAGACATATATAAGCTAAGGCTAAGAGTGCTTTTGTAAACTAGCATTAACTCCATTATCATTTAATTTCTACTCTGTAAGTGAGCAAACTGTTATATTGATATATTTAAGAAATTCAAATACAAATTGAAAAATCAAAGCTAGATATTTTAAAATACCACAGAAGACATAACTCTCAAAACCTTCTGAATTACATACATTCATCTGATCTGGCCTAGGTTACACTAGCCCACAATGTAAGTCAGCAAAAGATTTTTTTTTCAATGGGATGAAAAAAACTGAATTTGGCTCCTGGTAGCAAACTCACTAAGACATATGAGTAGTACTTTTTGTAGAATAAGGAAAGAATTCTCATTCACCCCATAGAATTGGTACAGTGTATGTCTGAAGAGCCTGATAAAGACAGCAAAAACATCCCTGGTCAAGAAGATATTAACAGCCTAGAAACGTTGAACTGCCAATACAAAGAAAGTGAAAATAAAATGTTCTCATGTACCGGGCAGTTAGAGGCAGCTATGAATGAGCTTTTGTTATATCTTATAGGCAAAAGACTAATGAATTTATTAAACACTGAAGTGAAAAGGGCAATGTTACTAGAGGAAAGAACTAATACTCTCTGACCCAAAGGGTTTTTTTTGTCAAATGTGTTGGACCCTGAATAAATTAGGATTATAAGACAGGAAAACAGAAGTTGTAATAATTATGAATGGGAGTTAGAATAAGCTATAAAAGAATCTCA